GTGGAGTGTAGTGTAATGTAGTGTAGTGGAGTGTAGTGTAGTGTAGTGTAGTGTAGTTTAGTGTAGGGGAGTGTAGTGGAGTGTAGTGGAGTGTAGTGGAGTGTAGTGGAGTGTAGTGGAGTGTAGTGGAGTGTAGTGGAGTGTAGTTGTGTAGTGGTAGTTGTATTTGTAGTGTAGTGGAGTGTAGTGTAGTGTAATGTAGTGAAGTGTAGTGGAAGGTAGTGTAGTGTAGTGTAATGTAGTGTAGTGTAGTGGAGTGTAGTGTAGTGTAATGTAGTGTAGTGCAATTTAGTGTAGTGGAGTGTAGTGGAGTGTAGTGGGGTGTAGTTGTCTAGTTGTAGTTGTAGTGTAGTGGAGTGTAGTTTAGTGTAATGTAGTGAAGTGTAGTGGAAAGTAGCGTAGTGTAGTGTAATGTAGTGTAGTGTAGTGGAGTGTAGTGTAGTGTAATGTAGTGTAGTGTAGTGTAATTTAGTGTAGTGGAGTGTAGTGGAGTGTAGTTGTGTAGTTGTGTAGTTGTAGTTGTAGTGGAGTGTAGTGTAGTGTCATGTAGTGTAGTGTAGTGGAGTGTAGTGTAGTGTAATGTAGTGTAGTGAAGCGAAGCGAAGCGAAGCGACATCTGAGCCTCCAAAAGTGGTCCGAACCCCTGGTGTTTTTAACATTTTGACTTCGAAATGTGCTTCGCGCCACAACGGCGTGCACTTTTTCGACATCACAACTTCCAAACGTGGTCCGACACTGAGGTGCTTTGTACATGTTCACTTCGAAATGTGCTTCTCGCCACAACGGCGTGCACTTTTTTGACATCTCAACTTCCAAAAGTGGTCCGACACTGAGGTGTTTTGTACATGTTCACTTCGAAATGTGCTTCTCGCCAAAACGGCGTGCACTTTTTCGACATCACAACTTCCAAACGTGGTCCGACACTGAGGTGCTTTGTACATGTTCACTTCGAAATGTGCTTCGCGCCACAACGGCGTTTACATTTTCGACATCACAACTTCCAAACGTGGTCCGACACTGAGGTGCTTTGTACATGTTCACTTCGAAATGTGCTTCGCGCCACAACGGCGTGCACTTTTTCGACATCGCAACTTCCAAAAGTGGTCCGACACTGAGGTGTTTTGTACCTTTTCACTTCGAAATGTGCTTCGCGCCACAACGGCGTGCAATTTTTCATCTCTCATCTGGCCAGCTGCCTCCGCACCCGCCGCTTTAGCGAGCCTACTTTTCGACCCTCCGGAGCCACAAATCATTGGAAAAACACAGTGTGTCGCGACATGTCGCGACTTTCCTACCTTTTCGCGCATCTGCATCTTTTTTCTTCTGACTCTTTCTCTTCTACTCTTCTCTCTTCTAATCTTTCTCTTCTCTCTGCCTCTGCCCTGCTCTGCTTTTCATCTGTCCATATTGTCGGAAGTTTGACTTCTAAACTTCCTTCGACTAATCCGGGGTTGACAGGAAGGGAAGAAGTCCTTCACACTGGCTTGCATGCTATAGAAATCTTGGTGTCCCAAGGAAGTTCAGCAAAGGTGTGACCAATGGAAACATTGACTTGCAGAAGCTGTGGCAAGCCATCAAATCAATCGAGGCTGCAGCCAGTTAGCCGCAGCGTGCATTTGGTGCAGTGGGTCTACTTTACCCAGCGCCAGACATTGGTCTGCGTGTGAAATACCTACGTATAGTTCTTTGTACACAATTATACACAGCTAGCAATTACATTCCACTTGAAAAAATACAAACATCTGCAAGATTCCTAGACATGATATTGTATCAAGATTCCTAGACATGATATTGTCTCATTGATGCGGGTGAAACTAAATTGCTAGGCGGCGGTCACTTTTAGCGCCTGGGGAACGTTGGCTTTGACTATGGACAACTAGCAGGTCACACCACCTTCATCCACCTTCCCTTGCTGCCACAAGATCCATGGCCTTCCCGACAGAATTAGGTGATGATTAGTGCTTAATGCAGCTGATCACATTCCCCACCCTTTTAAAAATGTCTAGCTGTCCAGCCCTCAACTGCAGGTCACACCAGCAGCCCAACACCTTCCCGGCTGCCTGCCGCAGCAGCCGATCGCGGAGAGCAAGGCCTTGGATCTTTGGGGCTTTTGTTATGAAGCAAGTTTCCAAACATTATCCGACCGGGTCCCAGCCTATTCTCAAGTGACGCCGAAAAGCCCTTTTGACGGAACTAGAATTTAGTTGCTAAATCCTCACATCCATCGGCAATTTCCGATTGGCACTGCACGCAGTGTCAAGCAAATTGATGTTTCCCAGGTCCACAGTTGAAGGACTAGCCCAACACCAGCTGACCTGGCCCATCCTGACCCTGCCCCTGTCCTGCACAAATTGCGCGAAGTCATCCTGAAAGTTCATGATGTTTGGGAAATCTGTGGGTGTCATCACCACCAACCAGTTCAGGTTTGACAATTTTGCACTGGTGGTGAAGACTGGGTCACTAGGTGCATTATGACAACGATGTCTCATCCGATTGCACAATTGAGAAATTATCTTTGTGTCTGCCATGAGTCCAATTTCTTGTGGAACCACTTTACAAAACAAACAGTTGAAAGATGTTGAAAGGCTGTCTCCTCTCTCTTTTTTTTGAAATCATGAACAGGGTCCAGGGTGGTGGGACCCTCAAATCGCCATGCGCAACATCCAAGACCCCCTTTTCAAATCTGGCAAGCCTGCGGGGGCTGTTCCTCCTCCCCGTGAGTCTCCGAGGGCTGTTGAAACAGCGATTCTGCCTGCAATGAGCACAGGCAGAAAGCAAAATCCTGAAGATTGTCACACCCTGGGATGAATTATGAAAATATTGATGATCTGGGATGTTTTCTTGCTTCACTCTGACCATTTGCCGCAGCAACACATTCTAATGCATTGTGCTTCAGTGACACTCAGTGACAACAACTGCGGCAATGATGAGGGAGCAAAATGTCGTTGAACCATGTTGAACCCTTCCACTTCGCAACGCAACTTTTGACTGCTTGGAAAGACCTTGTTCAAACACTGCACCTGCCTCGGCAATCACTTCAGACAGCGGCGCTGCTTCAAATTCCACCACCTGCAGAAAGCAAAGCTCAAGGGATTCAAAGGTATTGCATGCAGAATCTCAATGTTTCAATATATGCTTCACTTGCACCAGGTGGCATATTGCGGTTTCGGGTTCCTTTATGTTCAGCTGGAACTACTGGTTGATGATGGGCATGAGTTATGAGCAAAATACCATGGGGAAAGGTCCAAACTTGAGTCCTTGAGGGTTGGTAAACAAAAGGCCAAGACAAAAGATGTGGGAGCCATGGGCGCTATCAATGAGAAGGGAGATGCGAAGGGTAACGTGGAGGAAGGTGGCAAGATGGTCAGAGCGAGGTGGAGTGGAGTGACTAAGTGGGAAGGAGTTGGGTGGATCGCTGGAAGAAATGAATCCATATCAAAGTGTGCATGACAAATTGCGGGTTTGGCAATTGGACTGCTCCACATCCCTTGCTAAAGCAAGAAAATAACATGAAAAAAATCAAGCTTGCTACCACTAGCTTTCGTGACAAGACATTGTTCAAACCCACTGCCTCTGCCTCGACTGGCTCAGGAGGGCCCTGCAATGAGCACAGGCAGAAAGCAAAATCCTGTGGGCTAAATTATGAAATCTTAATGTTTCATTGCTTCACTCTGACCATTTGCCGCGGCAACACATTCTAATGCATTGTGCTTCAGTGACACTCAGTGACAACAACTGCGGCAATGATGAGGGAGCAAAATGTCGTTGAACCATGTTGAACCCTTCCACTTCGCAACACAACTTTTGACTGCTTGGAAAGACCTTGTTCAAACACTGCACCTGCCTCGGCAATCACTTCAGAAAGTGGCAACACCTGCCGGAAGCCAAGCTCTAAGGATTCCAAGGTATGGCATTCAGAAATTCAATGTTCCAACATGTTCAATGATTTTTAATGATTTTCAATGTATGTTTCACTTGCACCAGGTGGCATGCTAAGGTTTCGGGTTCCTTTATGTTCAGCTGGAACTACTGGTTGATGATGGGCATGAGTTATGGGCAAAATACCATGGGGAAAGGTCCAAACTTGAGTCCTTGAGGGTTGGCAAACGAAAGGCCAAGAACAAAGATGTGGGAGCGGAGAAGGCATAGAAAGCCATGGGCGCTAGCAATGAGAAGGGAGATGCGAAGGGTAGCGTGGAGGAAGGTGGCAAGATGGTCAGAGCAAGGTGGAGTGGAGTGACTAAGTGGTTGGGTGGATCGCTGGATGAAATGAATCCATATCAAAGTGTGCATGACAAATTGCGGGTTTGGCAATTGGACTGCTCCACATCCCTTGCTAAAGCAAGAAAATAACATGAAAAAAATCAAGCTTGCTACCACTAGCTTTCGTGACAAGACATTGTTCAAACCCACTGCCTCTGCCTCGACTGGCTCAGGAGGGCCCTGCAATGAGCACAGGCAGAAAGCAAAATCCTGTAGGCTAAATTATGAAATCTTAATGTTTCATTGCTTCACTGTGACCATTTGCCGCATCAACACCTCCAGTGCATTGTGATTCAGTGACACTCAGTGACAACAACTGCGGCAATGATGAGGGAGCAAAATGTCGTTGAACCATGTTGAACCCTTCCACTTCGCAACACAACTTTTGACTGCTTGGAAAGACCTTGTTCAAACACTGCACCTGCCTCGGCAATCACTTCAGAAAGTGGCAACACCTGCCGGAAGCCAAGCTCTAAGGATTCCAAGGTATGGCATTCAGAAATTCAATGTTTCAACATGTTTCAACATGTTTAAATGGTTTTCAATGATATTCAATGATTTTCAATGTATGTTTCACTTGCACCAGGTGGCATGTTAAGGTTTCGGGTTCCTTTATGTTCAGCTGGAACTACTGGTTGATGATGGGCATGAGTTATGAGCAAAATACCATGGGGAAAGGTCCAAACTTGAGTCCTTGAGGGTTGGTAAACGAAAGGCCAAGAAAAAAGATGTGGGAGCGGAGAAGGCATAGAAAGCCATGGGCGCTAGCAATGAGAAGGGAGATGCGAAGGGTAACGTGGAGGAAGGTGGCAAGATGGTCAGAGCGAGGTGGAGTGGAGTGACTAAGTGGGAAGGAGTTGGGTGGATCGCTGGAAGAAATGAATTGGACTGCTCCACATCCCTTGCTAAAGCAAGAAAAAAACATGAAACAAATCAAGCTTGCTACCACTAGCTTTCGTGACAAGACATTGTTCAAACCCACTGCCTCTGCCTCGACTGGCTCAGGAGGGCCCTGCAATGAGCACAGGCAGAAAGCAAAATCCTGTAGGCTAAGTTATGAAATCTTAATGTTTCATTGCTTCACTGTGACCATTTGCCGCAGCAACACATTCTAATGCATTGTGCTTCAGTGACACTCAGTGACAACAACTGCGGCAATGATGAGGGAGCAAAATGCCGTTGAACCATGTTGAACCCTTCCACTTCGCAGCACAACTTTTGACTGCTTGGAAAGACCTTGTTCAAACACTGCACCTGCCTCGGCAATCACTTCAGAAAGTGGCAACACCTGCCGGAAGCCAAGCTCTAAGGATTCCAAGGTATGGCATTCAGAAATTCAATGTTTCAACATGTTTCAATGATCTTCAATGATTTTCAATGTATGTTTCACTTGCACCAGGTGGCATGTTAAGGTTTCGGGTTCCTTTATGTTCAGCTGGAACTACTGGTTGATGATGGGCATGAGTTATGAGCAAAATACCATGGGGAAAGGTCCAAACTTGAGTCCTTGAGGGTTGGTAAACAAAAGGCCAAGAAAAAGATGTGGGAGCGGAGAAGGCATAGAAAGCCATGGGCGCTAGCAATGAGAGGGGAGATGCGAAGGGTAGCGTGGAGGAAGGTGGCAAGATGGTAAGAGCAAGGTGGAGTGGAGTGACTAAGTGGGAAGGAGTTGGGTGGATCGCTGGAAGAAATGAATCCGTATCAAAGTGTGCATGACAAATTGCGGGTTTGGCAATTGGACTGCTCCACATCCCTTGCTAAAGCAAGAAAATAACATGAAAAAAATCAAGCTCGCTATCACTAGCTTTTGTGGCAAGACATTGTTCAAACCCACTGCCTCTGCCTCGACTGGCTCAGGAGGGCCCTGCAATGAGCACAGGCAGAAAGCAAAATCCTGTGTGCTAAGTTATGAAATCTTAATGTTTCATTGCTTCACTCTGACCATTTGCCGCATCAACACATTCTAATGCATTGTGCTTCAGTGACACTCAGTGAAAAACTGCGGCAATGATGAGGGAGCAAAATGTCGTTGAACCATGTTGAACCCTTCCACTTCGCAACACAACTTTTGACTGCTTGGAAAGACCTTGTTCAAACACTGCACCTGCCTCGGCAATCACTTCAGAAAGTGGCAACACCTGCCGGAAGCCAAGCTCTAAGGATTCCAAGGTATGGCATTCAGAAATTCAATGTTCCAACATGTTTCAATGATTTTTAATGATTTTCAATGTATGTTTCACTTGCACCAGGTGGCATGTTAAGGTTTCGGGTTCCTTTATGTTCAGCTGGAACTACTGGTTGATGATGGGCATGAGTTATGAGCAAAATACCATGGGGAAAGGTCCAAACTTGAGTCCTTGAGGGTTGGTAAACGAAAGGCCAAGAAAAAAGATGTGGGAGCGGAGAAGGCATAGAAAGCCATGGGCGCTAGCAATGAGAAGGGAGATGCGAAGGGTAGCGTGGAGGAAGGTGGCAAGATGGTAAGAGCAAGGTGGAGTGGAGTGACTAAGTGGGAAGGAGTTGGGTGGATCGCTGGAAGAAATGAATCCATATCAAAGTGTGCATGACAAATTGCGGGTTTGGCAATTGGACTGCTCCACATCCCTTGCTAAAGCAAGAAAATAACATGAAAAAATCAAGCTTGCTACCACTAGCTTTCGTGACAAGACATTGTTCAAACCCACTGCCTCTGCCTCGACTGGCTCAGGAGGGCCCTGCAATGAGCACAGGCAGAAAGCAAATCCTGTGGGCTAAATTATGAAATCTTAATGTTTCATTGCTTCACTCTGACCATTTGCCGCAGCAACACATTCTAATGCATTGTGCTTCAGTGACACTCAGTGACAACAACTGCGGCAATGATGAAGGAGTAAAATGTTGTTGAACCATGTTGAACCCTTCCACTTCGCAACACAACTTTTGACTGCTTGGAAAGACCTTGTTCAAACACTGCACCTGCCTCGGCAATCACTTCAGAAAGTGGCAACACCTGCCGGAAGCCAAGCTCTAAGGATTCCAAGGTATGGCATTCAGAAATTCAATGTTTCAATGTTCCAACATGTTTCAATGTATGTTTCACTTGCACCAGGTGGCATGTTAAGGTTTCGGGTTCCTTTATGTTCAGCTGGAACTACTGGTTGATGATGGGCATGAGTTATGAGCAAAATACCATGGGGAAAGGTCCAAACTTGAGTCCTTGAGGGTTGGTAAACGAAAGGCCAAGAAAAAAGATGTGGGAGCGGAGAAGGCATAGAAAGTCATGGGCGCTAGCAATGAGAAGGGAGATGCGAAGGGTAGCGTGGAGGAAGGTGGCAAGATGGTCAGAGCAAGGTGGAGTGGAGTGACTAAGTGGGAAGGAGTTGGGTGGATCGCTGGATGAAATGAATCCATATCAAAGTGTGCATGACAAATTGCGGGTTTGGCACTTGGACTGCTCCACATCCCTTGCGAAAGCAAGGCAAAAAGATGAACTAGACGACGGATGGCCCGAGAGCGTAGAGGAGCAGGGTCTTCTCTTGTTAGTATGGAGACACCATATTACAAAACAATATATTAAAGATGTGTTTTAGGCAGTCGAGAAGAGGAGTATCAAGACAATATAGCATAAGTACAAGACAATAGTTTGCATCGCAAACACTTTTACACACAGAAGCTTTTACACAGAGCAAGCTTTTACACAGAGAACCCCTTACACAGAGAAGCTTTTACAGGCAGGCGCTTTTACACAGAGACACTTTTACACAGAGACGCTTTTACACACAAGGCACTTTTACACACAGACACTTTTACACACAGACACTTTTACACACAGGCGCTTTTACATACAGACAGTTTTACACAGACGCTTTTACACAGACGCTTTTACACACAAAGCTTTTACCCACAGAAGCTTTTACAGACAGAAGCTTTTACACACAGACGCTTTTACACACAGACACTTTTACACACAGACACTTTTACACACAGACGCTTTTACACACAGACACTTTTAACAAAGACCCTTTTACACACAGGAGTTTTTACGCACAGAAGTGTTTACACGCAGACGCTTTTACACACAAAAGCTTTTACACACAGAAGCTTTTACACATAGACGCTTTTACACACAGACACTTTTACACACAAACACTTTTACACAAACACTTTTACACACAGACGCTTTTACACACAGAAGCTTTTACACGCAGACGCTTGTACACACAGAAGCTTTTACACACAAACGCTTTTACACACAGACGGTTTTACACACAAACACTTTTACACAGAGCACACAGAAGCTTTTAAGCAGACGCTTTTACACAGACGCTTTTACACAGATGCTTTTACACACAGAAGCTTTGACACACAGCACACAGAAGCTTTAATTGTACACACAGAAGAAATCGCAATTTTACCTTAGTTTTTGGCGATCGACCCTCATTTTGTGCGAAAGAGTTGCGCGGGACAAGTTGAAATCGCAATTTTACCTCAGTTTTTGGCGATCGAACCTCATTTCGTGCGAAAGGGTTGCGCCGGACGCCTTGAAATCGCAATTTTACTTCAGTTTTTGGCGATCGAACCTCGTTTCGTGCGAAAGGGTTGCGTTTCGTGCCGTCTCGTTGGCACTGCCCCTGCCCCCGCCTTCAGAAGAGAAATAGAAAAGAAGGAGAAGGCAAGAGGGCGAGAGGGCGAGAGGGCAAGAGGGCAAGAGGAGAAGATGTGAAGATGTGAGGATGTGAAGATGTGAAGATGTGAGGATGAGAAGATGTGAAGATGAGCAGATGTGAAGATATGAAGATGTGAAGATGAGCAGAAGATGTGAAGATGTGAAGATGAGCAGATGTGAAGATGTGAAGATGAGAGGATGTGAAGATGAGAAGATGTGAAGATGAGAGGATGTGAAGATGAGAAGATGTGAAGATGTGAAGTGAGAAGATGTGAAGATGAGAAGGTGTGAAGATGAGAAGATGTGAAGATGAGAAGATGTGAAGAAGATGTGAAGATGTGAAGATGTGAAGTGAGAAGATGCGAAGATGAGAAGATGTGAAGATGAGAAGATGTGAAGATGAGAAGATGTGAAGATGAAGATGTGAAGATGAGAAGATGTGAAGATGAGAAGGTGTGAAGATGAAGATGTGAAGATGAGAGGATGTGAAGATGAGAAGATGTGAAGATGAGAAGATGAGATACAGACCTCCACTATTGGAAGAACCCTGCGCTCAGACGCTTTCGGGAAAAAAATCAAGCTCGCTATCACTAGCTTTTGTGACAAGACATTGTTCAAACCCACTGCCTCTGCCTCGACTGGCTCAGGAGGGCCCTGCAATGAGCACAGACAGAAAGCAAAATCCTGTGTGCTAAATTATGAAACCTTAATGTTTCATTGCTCCACTCTGACCATTTCCCGCATCAACACCTCCAGTGCATTGTGATTCAGTGACACTCAGTGACAACAACTGCGGCAATGATGAGGGAGCAAAATGCCGTTGAACCATGTTGAACCCTTCCACTTCGTAACACAACTTTTGACTGCTTGGAAAGACCTTGTTCAAACACTGCACCTGCCTCGGCAACTTCAGCCCCAGGTGACGCTTCAAATTCCGCCACCTGCAGAAAGAAAGAAAGTGCTTGAAGGATCCGAAGGTATTGCAATGCCAAAACTTGACATTTCGCGATGACCATGCACTGCATCAACGCCTACCAGGCCTAGCACCTTTTTCGGGTAGTTGGATTTTTTTGTTTTGATGAGGATGAAACTCCCGCCATATGGATCCATATGGTACTGGTACTAGGCCACTTTGAGACCCAATCATGACTGATCCCAACAAGATCTTTCTCAAATCCACTCTCTCCCCGCCTCCGCCTTGATTACCGCAGGCTTCTTTGCTGAAGCTTGCAACGCATCAAAGTGCGCAATGGCCGCCAGCATCCCCGATCCCGGCGTGTCCTCCTTCGGTTGATCCTTCATCTTCCTGCCCTCCGCCTCCAGTTCGGCCAGGTGTCGCTGCTGCAGCGCCTGGCTTTTGCCATCAACCATCCTCCATCCCAGGAGCCGCGGGTCATCCCGCGAGCGCGCGGTGACGGGGAATCTCATGCCGTACACCGACGCCGCCGTGGCTGAATCCATGGCCACAGCGAAAGCGGAAGGAGCGATGTCAACAATCAGCAGCTGAGCCAAGGTGCCTCCAGGCGACTTTTTTGAGGACAATGATGGACTCCATGTGATGAATCTGAGCCCATAGCCGCCACAACCAAGCTATCATGTCGTAAGGATTCGTAAGGTATCTGCAGGATCATAAGAAATCAGAGAAAGTGTCAACTTGGAAGCTTGCAGCTCAGAACAGGCTCTGCCAAGAATTGGTTGGGGCCAAGTCAGGTGACAACAACATGCTGAAGTATCATGAAAATTCATGAAATATGTTGAATACTTGATATCGATGAGAGCAACTCAACGACAATCTTCGGAGCTAGATGACCCAATCCACCCTTGGCCCGAATCTCGCATGTCTTAAACATTCTGACTGGGCGAGTCACACTTCATCCAAAACCATCCAAAACTGATATCACAGGTATCTCTTGGATTTTTTCGTCAAATTCCGGGAAAGCCCCCAAAAACGGTAGGCTTTCCAGGCCGGCCCTCTGCTGCGATTTTTCAGTTCAAAACGTTCCATGACTTGCAGAAGCTGTGGCAAGCCATCAAATCAATCGAGGCTGCAGCCAGTTAGCCGCAGCGTGCATTTGGGGTGCAGCGTGTGAAATACCTATGGTTCTTTTTACACAATTATACACAGCTAGCAATTACATTCCACTTGAAAAATACAAACATCTGCAAGATTCCCAGACATGATATTGTCTCATTGATGCGGGTGAAACTAAATTGCTAGGCGGCGATCACTTTTGGCGCCTGGGGAACGTTGGCTTTGACTATGGACAACTAGCAGGTCACACCACCTTCCCTTGCTGCCACAAGATCCATGGTCCCGACAGAATTAGGTGATGATTAGTGCTTAATGCAGCTGATCACATTCCCCACCCTTTTAAAAATGTCTAGCTGTCCAGCCCTCAACTGCAGGTCACACCAGCAGCCCAACACCTTCCCGGCTGCCTGCCGCAGCAGCCGATCGCGGAGAGAAAGGCCTTGGATCTTTGGGGCTTTTGTTATGAAGCAAGTTTCCAAACATTATCCGACCGGGTCCCAGCCTATTCTCAAGTGACGCCGAAAAGCCCTTTTGACGGAACTAAAATTTAGTTGTTAAATCCTCGCATCCATCGGCAATTTCCGATTGGCACTGTACGCAGTGTCAAGCAAATTGATGTTTCCCAGATCCACAGTTGAAGGACTAGCCGACTAGCCCACCACCAGCTGACCTGGCCCATCCTGACCCTGCCCCTGTCCTGCACAAATTGCGCGATGTCATCCTGAAAGTTCATGGAGATGTTTGGGAAATCTGTGGGTGTCATCACCACCAACCACTTCAGGTTTGACAATTTTGCACTGGTGGTGAAGACTGGGTCACTAGGTGCATTAAACCACAACGATGTCTCATCCGATTGCAGGGGTGAGAAATAATCTTTGTGTCTGCCACGAGTCCAATTTCTTGTGGAACCACTTTACAAAACAAACAGTTGAAAGATGTTGAAAGGCTGTCTCCTCTTTTTTTTGAAATCATGAACAGGGTCCACCACCTCAAATCGCCATGCGCAACATCCAAGACCCCCTTTTCAAATCTGGCAAGCCTGCGGGGGCTGTTCCTCCTCCCCGTGAGTCTCCGAGGGCTGTTGAAACAGCGATTCTGCCTGCAATGAGCACAGGCAGAAAGCAAAATCCTGAAGATTGTCACACCCTGGGATGAATTATGAAAATATTGATGATCTGGGATGTTTTCTTGCTTCACTCTGACCATTTGCCGCAGCAACACATTCTAATGCATTGTGCTTCAGTGCCACTCAGTGACAACAACTGCGGCAATGATGAGGGAGCAAAATGTCGTTGAACCATGTTGAACCCTTCCACTTCGCAACGCAACTTTTGACTGCTTGGAAAGACTTGTTCAAACACTGCACCTGCCTCGGCAATCACTTCAGACAGCGGCGCGGCTTCAAATTCCACCACCTGCAGAAAGCAAAGCTCAAGGGATTCAAAGGTATTGCATGCAGAATCTCAATGTTTCAATACATGTTTCACTTGCACCAGGTGGCATGTTAAGGTTTCGGGTTCCTTTATGTTCAGCTGGAACTACTGGCTGATGATGGGCATGAGTTATGAGCAAAATACCATGGGGAAAGGTCCAAACTTGAGTCCTTGAGGGTTGGTAAACAAAAGGCCAAGAAAAAAGATGTGGGAGCGGAGAAGGCATAGAAAGCCATGGGCGCTAGCAATGAGAAGGGAGATGCGAAGGGTAGCGTGGAGGAAGGTGGCAAGATGGTAAGAGCAAGGTGGAGTGGAGTGACTAAGTGGGAAGGAGTTGGGTGGATCGCTGGAAGAAATGAATCCATATCAAAGTGTGCATGACAAATTGCGGGTTTGGCAATTGGACTGCTCCACATCCCTTGCTAAAGCAAGAAAAAAACATGAAAAAAATCAAGCTTGCTACCACTAGCTTTCGTGACAAGACATTGTTCAAACCCACTGCCTCTGCCTCGACTGGCTCAGGAGGGCCCTGCAATGAGCACAGGCAGAAAGCAAAATCCTGTGGGCTAAATTATGAAATCTTAATGTTTCATTGCTTCACTCTGACCATTTGCCGCAGCAACACATTCTAATGCATTGTGCTTCAGTGACACTCAGTGACAACAACTGCGGCAATGATGAGGGAGCAAAATGTCGTTGAACCATGTTGAACCATGTTGAACCCTTCCACTTCGCAACACAACTTTTGACTGCTTGGAAAGACCTTGTTCAAACACTGCACCTGCCTCGGCAATCACTTCAGAAAGTGGCAACACCTGCCGGAAGCCAAGCTCTAAGGATTTCAAGGTATGGCATTCAGAAATTCAATGTTTCAACATGTTTCAATGTGTTTTCAATGTTTTTCACTTGCACCAGGTGGCATGTTAAGGTTTCGGGTTCCTTTATGTTCAGCTGGAACTACTGGTTGATGATGGGCATGAGTTATGAGCAAAATACCATGGGGAAAGGTCCAAACTTGAGTCCTTGAGGGTTGGTAAACGAAAGGCCAAGAAAAAAGATGTGGGAGCGGAGAAGGCATAGAAAGCCATGGGCGCTAGCAATGAGAAGGGAGATGCGAAGGGTAGCGTGGAGGAAGGTGGCAAGATGGTCAGAGCAAGGTGGAGTGGAGTGACTAAGTGGGAAGGAGTTGGGTGGATCGCTGGAAGAAATGAATCCATATCAAAGTGTGCATGACAAATTGCCGGTTTGGCAATTGGACTGCTCCACATCCCTTGCTAAAGCAAGAAAAAACATGAAAAAAATCAAGCTTGCTACCACTAGCTTTCGTGACAAGACATTGTTCAAACCCACTGCCTCTGCCTCGACTGGCTCAGGAGGGCCCTGCAATGAGCACAGGCAGAAAGCAAATCCTGTAGGCTAAATTATGAAATCTTAATGTTTCATTGCTTCACTGTGACCATTTGCCGCAGCAACACATTCTAATGCATTGTGCTTCAGTGACACTCAGTGACAACAACTGCGGCAATGATGAGGGAGCAAAATGTCGTTGAACCATGTTGAACCCTTCCACTTCGCAACACAACTTTTGACTGCTTGGAAAGACCTTGTTCAAACACTGCACCTGCCTCGGCAATCACTTCAGAAAGTGGCAACACCTGCCGGAAGCCAAGCTCTAAGGATTCCAAGGTATGGCATTCAGAAATTCAATGTTTCAACATATTTCAACATGTTTCAATGTATGTTTCACTTGCACCAGATGGCATGTTAAGGTTTCGGGTTCCTTTATGTTCAGCTGGAACTACTGGTTGATGATGGGCATGAGTTATGAGCAAAATACCATGGGGAAAGGTCCAAACTTGAGTCCTTGAGGGTTGGTAAACGAAAGGCCAAGACAAAAGATGTGGGAGCGGAGAAGGCATAGAAAGCCATGGGCGCTAGCAATGAGAAGGGAGATGCGAAGGGTAGCGTGGAGGAAGGTGGCAAGATGGTAAGAGCAAGGTTGAGTGGAGTGACTAAGTGGGAAGGAGTTGGGTGGATCGCTGGAAGAAATGAATCCATATCAAAGTGTGCATGACAAATTGCCGGTTTGGCAATTGGACTGCTCCACATCCCTTGCTAAAGCAAAAAAAACATGAAAACAAGATGCAGCCCACGAACCCGAATGCTCACACGTATGTTAATGGTACAGGTGTGGAAACACATGGACATGCAGTCACGCAGAACACTTTTCTGCAATAGTTTATTGGAACAGGCTTGTACATATTTCCCCTATTACCAGTCTGCGGTGTGGAGTGGGAAGTGTAGAGTGTGGAGTGTAGAGTGTAAAGTAAGGAGTGTGGAGTATAAAGTGTGGAGTGGGGAGTGTGGAGCATGTAAAGTGTAGAGTCTAGAGTGTGGAGTGTAGAGTGTAAAGTGTGGAGTGTGGAGTGTGGAGTTTAAAGTGTAGAGTGTGGAGTGTGGAGTGCGGAGTGTAGAGTGTGGAGTGTGGCGTGTAGAGTGTAAAGTGTGGAGTGAGGAGTGTAAAGTGTGGAGTGTGGAGTGTGGAGTGTGCAGTGTAGAGTGTGGAGTGTGGAGTGTGGAGTGGAAAGTGTAGAGTGTGGAGTGTGGAGTGTAAAGTGTAAAGTGAGGAGTGTGAAGTGTAAAGTGTGGAGTGAGGAGTGTGGAGTGTAGAGTGTAAAGTGTAGAGTGTGGAGTGTAAAGTCTCAGGTAAGGTGTGAGGAGTGTAAAGTGCAAAGTGTAAAGTGTGGAGTGTAAAGTGTACAGTGTGGAGTCTAAAGTGTAAATTGTGGAGTGCGGAGTGTAAAGTGTAGAGTGTGGAGTGCAGAGCTTCCCCCATAGACACGGAGACGCCACAGGAAAACGAGAGACTCGAGACGAGACACGTGGGAGCACCAAAACGAGCATTTCCGACGAGATTTCCTCCAATTTTGACATTTTCAACACATTATCAAACAAGTTTGGAATGTCACAAAGTGCCACGCCTGCCACGCAAAACGACATGACAACCTGCTTGGACACATTCGAATAGGACATGTTTTCCAGCTTCCCCCATAGACACGGCGACGCCACAGGAAAACCAGCGACTCGAGATAAGACACGTGGGAGCACCAAAACGAGCATTTCCTACGAGATTTCCTCCAATTTTGAAATTTTGTGAACATCATCAAACAGGTTGGAATGTCAGAAAGTACCACGCCTGCCACGCAAAACAACATGACAACCTGCTTGGAAACATTCGAAAAGGACAGGTTTTCCAGCTTCCCCCATAGACACGGCGACGCCACAGGAAAACCAGCGACTCGAGACAAGACACGTGGATGCAGAAAAACCAGCATTTCGTACGAGATTTCCTCCAATTTTCACACTTTGTAGCTTCAAAATCGACGTTTTCCTAGGAGTTTTCCTTAGAACCTGAAAATTTGCAACCTCAAAATCCATGTTTCGTGCGAGGCTTCCGTCAATTTTCAGCACATCGTACAAAATGCCACGACTGCCACGGAATTTGCACCTTGTCGCCACTGACGCACCCCTCCAATGCGATTTGCAAAAAACACGCAACACGACACGTCTAAAGTGCTGCGCTTGCCACGAAAAATGACGATGGACACGTCCAAAGTGCTGCGCCTGCCACGAAAACTGCAACACATCTTCTGAAAACGTCGCAAAAGTATTGCGCCTGCCAGGCAAAACGACTTTCGACACGTTCCAGAACACGTCTGAATGTCACGAAGTGCCACGCCTGCCACGCGAAACGAAGCAACGACACGTCTGAAACCTCCAAAATGGACCACCTCTGCAAAACTTCCCATAGGCACGGCCATACGGGGATCGCGCGGACGGTTGCGAACGGTTGCGAACGGTTGCGGACGGTTGCGGACGGTTGCGAACGGTTGCGACCACAAACGCAACGTCGAGCGAACACACCCTCAACCCCCAGACCCCCAGAGTGAAACGGGAACCCTTGCTACGCATTCGGGAAAAATCAGGCTTGCTACCACTAGCTTTCGTGACAAGACATTGTTCAAACCCACTGCCTCTGCCTCGACTGGCTCAGGAGGGCCCTGCCATGAGCACAGGCAGAAAGCAAAATCCTGTGTGCTAAATTATGAAATCTTAATGTTTCATTGCTTCACTCTGACCATTTGCCGCAGCAACACATTCTAATGCATTGTGATTCAGTGACACTCATTGACAACAACTGCGGCAATGATGAGGGAGCAAAATGTCGTTGAACCATGTTGAACCATGTTGAACCCTTCCACTTCGCAACACAACTTTTGACTGCTTGGAAAGACCTTGTTCAAACACTGCCTGCCTCGGCAATCACTTCAGAAAGTGGCAACACCTGCCGGAAGCCAAGCTCTAAGGATTCCAAGGTATGGCATTCAGAAATTCAATGTTTCAACATATTTCAATGATTTTCAATGTATGTTTCACTTGCACCAGGTGGCATGTTAAGGTTTCGGGTTCCTTTATGTTCAGCTGGAACTACTGGTTGATGATGGGCATGAGTTATGAGCAAAATACCATGGGGAAAGGTCCAAACTTGAGTCCTTGAGGGTTGGTAAACGAAAGGCCAAGACAAAAGATGTGGGAGCGGAGAAGGCATAGAAAGCCATGGGCGCTAGCAATGAGAAGGGAGATGCGAAGGGTAGCGTGGAGGAAGGTGGCAAGATGGTAAGAGCAAGGTGGAGTCGAGTGACTAAGTGGGAAGGAGTTGGGCGGATCGCTGGATGAAATGAATCCATATCAAAGTGTGCATGACAAATTGCGAGTTTGGCAATTGGACTGCTCCACATCCCTTGCTAAAGCAAGAAAAAAACATGAAAAAAATCAAGCTTGCTACCACTAGCTTTCGTGACAAGACATTGTTCAAACCCACTGCCTCTGCCTCGACTGGCTCAGGAGGGCCCTGCAATGAGCACAGGCAGAAAGTAAAATCCTGTGGGCTAAATTATGAAATCTTAATGTTTCATTGCTTCACTCTGACCATTTGCCGCAGCAACACATTCTAATGCATTGTGCTTCAGTGACACTCAGTGACAACAACTGCGGCAATGATGAGGGAGTAAAATGTCGTTGAACCATGTTGAACCATTGAACCATGTTGAACCCTTCCACTTCGCAACACAACTTTTGACTGCTTGGAAAGACCTTGTTCAAACACTGCACCTGCCTCGGCAATCACTTCAGAAAGTGGCAACACCTGCCGGAAGCCAAGCTCTAAGGATTTCAAGGTATGGCATTCAGAAATTCAATGTTTCAACATATTTCAATGATTTTCAATGTATGTTTCACTTGCACCAGGTGGCATGTTAAGGTTTCGGGTTCCTTTATGTTCAGCTGGAACTACTGGTTGATGATGGGCATGAGTTATGAGCAAAATACCATGGGGAAAGGTCCAAACTTGAGCCCTTGAGGGTTGGTAAACAAAAGGCCAAGAAAAAAAGATGTGGGAGCGGAGAAGGCATAGAAAGCCATGGGCGCTAGCAATGAGAAGGGAGATGCGAAGGGTAGCGTGGAGGAAGGTGGCAAGATGGTCAGAGCAAGGTGGAGTGGAGTGACTAAGCGGGAAGGAGTTGGGTGGATCACTGGAAGAAATGAATCCATATCAAAGTGTGCATGACAAATTGCGGGTTTGGCACTTGGACTGCTCCACATCCCTTGCGAAAGCAAGGCAGAAAGATCAAAAAATCAAGCTCGCTATCACTAGCTTTTGTGACAAGACATTGTTCAAACCCACTGCCTCTGCCTCGACTGGCTCAGGAGGGCCCTGCAATGAGCACAGGAAGAAAGCAAAATCCTGTGCGCTAAATTATGAAATCTTAATCTTAATGTTTCATTGCTTCACTCTGACCATTTCCCGCATCAACACCTCCAATGCATTGTGCTTCAGTGACACTCAGTGACAAAAAGTCTGGCAATGATGAGGGAGTAAAATGTCGTTGAACCATGTTGAACCATGTTGAACCATGTTGAACCCTTCCACTTCGCAACACAACTTTTGACTGCTTGGAAAGACCTTGTTCAAACACTGCACCTGCCTCGGCAACTTCAGCCCCAGGTGACGCTTCAAATTCCGCCACCTGCAGAAAGAAAGAAAGTGCTTGAAGGATCCGAAGGTATTGCAATGCCAAAACTTGACATTTCGCGATGACCATGCACTGCATCAACGCCTACCAGGCCTACCACCTTTTTCGGGTAGTTTTTTTCAAATTTGTTTTGATGAGGATGAAACTCCCGCCACATGGTACTGGATGTACTGGTACTAGGCCACTTTGAGACCCAATCATGACTGATCCCAACAAGATCTTTCTCAAATCCACTCTCTCCCCGCCTCCGCCTTGATCACAGGTTTCTTTGCTGATTGCAACGCATCAAAGTGCGCAATGGCCGCCAGCATCCCCGATCCCGGCGTGTCCTCCTTCGGTTGATCCTTCATCTTCCTGCCCTCCGCCTCCAGTTCGGCCAGGTGTCGCTGCTGCAGCGCCTGGCTTTTGCCATCAACCATCCTCCATCCCAGGAGCCGCGGGTCATCCCGCGAGCGTGCGGTGACGGGGAATCTCATGCGGTACACCGACGCCGCCGTGGCTGAATCCATGGCAGCGATTCAGCTGGAGCGATGTCAACAATCAGCTGAGCCAAGGTGTCTCCAGGCGACTGAGGACAATGATGGACAATGTGATGAATCTGAGCCCATAGCCGCTATAGCCCATAGCCACAACCAAGCTATCATGTCGTAAGGATTCGTAAGGTATCTGCAGGATCATAAGAAATCAGAGAAAGTGTCAACTTGGAAGCTTGCAGCTCAGAACAGGCTCTGCCAAGAATTGGTTGGGGCCAAGTCAGGTGACAACAACATGCTGAAGTATCATGAAAATTCATGAAATATGTTGAATACTTGATATCGATGAGAGCGACTCAACGGCAATCTTCGGAGCTAAATGACCCAATCCACCCTTGGCCCGAACATGCCCGAACCTCGCATGTCTTGAACATTCTGACTGGGCGAGTCACACTTCATCCAAAACCATCCAAAACTGATATCACAGGTATCTCTTGGAATTTTTACGTCAAATTCCGGGAAAGCCCCCAAAAACGGTAGGCTTTCCAGGCCGGCCCTCTGCTGCGATTTTTCAGTTCAAAACGTTCCATGACTTGCAGAAGCTGTGGCAAGCCATCAAATCAATCGAGGCTTCTTTATACACAATTATACACAGCTAGCAATTACATTCCACTTGAAAAATACAAACATCTGCAAGATTTCTAGACATGATATTGTCTCATTGATGCGGGTGAAACTAAATTGCTAGGCGGCGGTCACTTTTGGCGCCTGGGGAACGTTGGCTTTGACTATGGACAACTAGCAGGTCACACCACCTTCCCTTGCTGCCACAAGATCCATGGCCTTCCCGACAGAATTAGGTGATGATTAGTGCTTAATGCAGCTGATCACATTCCCCACCCTTTTAAAAATGTCTATATAGCTGTCCAGCCCTCAACTGCAGGTCACACCAGCAGCCCAACACCTTCCCGGCTGCTGCCTGCCGCAGCAGCCGATCGCGGAGAGAAAGGCCTTGGATCTTTGGGGCTTTTGTTATGAAGCAAGTTTCCAAACATTATCCGACCGGGTCCCAGCCTATTCTCAAGTGACGCCGAAAAGCCCTTTTGACGGAACTAAAATTTAGTTGCTAAATCATGCTAAATCCTCACATCCGTCGGCAATTTCCGATTGGCACTGCACGCAGTGTCAAGCGAATTGATGTTTCCCAGATCCACAGTTGAAGGACTAGCCGGCTAGCCCACCACCAGCTGACCTGGCCCATCCTGACCCTGCCCCCGTCCTGCACAAATTGCGCGATGTCATCCTGAAAGTTCATGAGATGTTTGGGAAATCTGTGGGTGTCATCACCACCAACCACTTCAGGTTTGACAATTTTGCACTGGTGAAGACTGGGTCACTAGGTGCATTATGACAACGATGTCTCATCCGATGGGGTGAGAAATAATCTAAACGTGTCTGCCCTGAGTCCAATTTCTTGTGGAAAGATGTTGAAAGGCTGTCTCCTCTCTTTTTTTTTGAAATCATGAACAGGGTCCAGGGTGGTGGGACCCTCAAATCGCCATGCGCAACATCCAAGACCCCCTTTTCAAATCTGGCAAGCCTGCGGGGGCTGTTCCTCCTCCCCGTGAGTCTCCGAGGGCTGTTGAAACAGCGATTCTGCCTGCAATGAGCACAGGCAGAAAGCAAAATCCTGAAGATTGTCACACCCTGGGATGAATTATGAAAAAATTATGAAATCTTAATGTTTCATTGCTTCACTCTGACCATTTGCCGCAGCAACACATTCTAATGCATTGTGCTTCAGTGACACTCAGTGACAACAACTGCGGCAATGATGAGGGAGCAAAATGTCGTTGAACCATGTTGAACCCTTCCACTTCGCAACGCAACTTTTGACTGCTTGGAAAGACTTGTTCAAACACCGCACCTGCCTCGGCAATCACTTCAGACAGCGGTGCGGCTTCAAATTCCACCACCTGCAGAAAGCAAAGCTCAAGGGATTCAAAGGTATTGCATGCAGAATCTCAATGTTTCAATATATGTTTCACTTGCACCAGGTGGCATATTGCGGTTTCCGGTTCCTTTATGTTCAGCTGGAACTACTGGTTGATGATGGGCATGAGTTATGAGCAAAATACCATGGGGAAAGGTCCAAACTTGAGTCCTTGAGGGTTGGTAAACAAAAAGCCAAGAAAAAAGATGTGGGAGCGGAGAAGGCATAGAAAGCCATGGGCGCTAGCAATGAGAAGGGAGATGCGAAGGGTAGCGTGGAGGACGGTGGCAAGATGGTCAGAGCAAGGTGGAGTGGAGTGACTAAGTGGGAAGGAGTTGGGTGGATCGCTGGAAGAAATAAATCCATATCAAAGTGTGAATGACAAATTGCCGGTTTGGCAATTGGACTGCTCCACATCCCTTGCTAAAGCAAGAAAAAAATGAAAAAATCAAGCTTGCTACCACTAGCTTTCGTGACAAGACATTGTTCAAACCCACTGCCTCTGCCTCGACTGGCTCAGGAGGGCCCTGCAATGAGCACAGGCAGAAAGCAAAAGCCTGTGGGCTAAATTATGAAATCTTAATGTTTCATTGCTTCACTCTGACCATTTGCCGCAGCAACACATTCTAATGCATTGTGCTTCAGTGACACTCAGTGACAACAACTGCGGCAATGATGAGGGAGCAAAATGTCGTTGAACCATGTTGAACCCTTCCACTTCGCAACACAACTTTTTGACTGCTTGGAAAGACCTTGTTCAAACACTGCACCTGCCTCAGCAATCACTTCAGAAAGTGGCAACACCTGCCGGAAGCCAAGCTCTAAGGATTTCAAGGTATGGCATTCAGAAATTCAATGTTTCAACATATTTCAATGATTTTCAATGTATGTTTCGCTTGCACCAGGTGGCATGTTGAGGTTTCGGGTTCCTTTATGTTCAGCTGGAACTACTGGTTGATGATGGGCATGAGTTATGAGCAAAATACCATGGGGAAAGGTCCAAACTTGAGTCCTTGAGTGTTGGTAAACGAAAGGCCAAGAAAAAGATGTGGGAGCGGAGAAGGCATAGAAAGCCATGGGCGCTAGCAATGAGAAGGGAGATGTGAAGGGTAGCGTGGAGGAAGGTGGCAAGATGGTCAGAGCAAGGTGGAGTGGAGTGACTAAGTGGGAAGGAGTTGGGTGGATCGCTGGAAGAAATGAATCCATATCAAAGTGTGCATGACAAATTGCGGGTTTGGCACTTGGACTGCTCCACATCCCTTGCTAAAGCAAGAAAAAAACATGAAAAAATCAAGCTTGCTACCACTAGCTTTCGTGACAAGACATTGTTCAAACATGCTCAAACCCACTGCCTCTGCCTCGACTGGCTCAGGAGGGCCCTGCAATGAGCACAGGCAGAAAGCAAAATCCTGTGTGCTAAATTATGACATCTGAATGTTTCATTGCTTCACTCTGATTATTTGCCGCATCAACACATTCTAATGTATTGTGCTTCAGTGACACTCAGTGACAACAACTGCGGCAATGATGAGGGAGCAAAATGTCGTTGAACAATGTTGAACCCTTCCACTCCGCAACACAACTTTTGTCTGCTTGGAAAGACCTTGTTCAAACACTGCACCTGCCTCGGCAACTTCAGAAAGTGGCAACACCTGCCGGAAGCCAAGCTCTAAGGATTCCAAGGTATGGCATTCAGAAATTCAATGTTTCAACATGTTTCAACATGTTTCAATGATTTTCAATGATTTTCAATGTATGTTTCACTTGCACCAGGTGGCATGTTAAGGTTTCGGGTTCCTTTATGTTCAGCTGGAACTACTGGTTGATGATGGGCATGAGTTATGAGCAAAATACCATGGGGAAAGGTCCAAACTTGAGTCCTTGAGGGTTGGTAAACGAAAAGCCAAGAAAAAAGATGTGGGAGCGGAGAAGGCATAGAAAGCCATGGGCGCTAGCAATGAGAAGGAGATGCGAAGGGTAACGTGGAGGAAGGTGGCAAGATTCAGAGCGAGGTGGAGTGGAGTGACTAAGTGGGAAGGAGTTGGGTGGATCGCTGGAAGAAATGAATCCATATCAAAGTGTGCAGGACAAATTGCGGGTTTGGCAATTGGACTGCTCCACATCCCTTGCTAAAGCAAGAAAAAAACATGAAAAAAATCAAGCTTGCTACCACTAGCTTTCGTGACAAGACATTGTTCAAACCCACTGCCTCTGCCTCGACTGGCTCAGGAGGGCCCTGCAATGAGCACAGGCAGAAAGCAAATCCTGTGGGCTAAATTATGACATCTTAATGTTTCATTGCTTCACTCTGACCATTTGCCGCATCAACACCTCCAATGCATTGTGATTCAGTGACACTCAGTGACAACAACTGCGGCAATGATGAGGGAGTAAAATGTCGTTGAACCATGTTGAACCATGTTGAACCCTTCCACTTCGCAACACAACTTTTGACTGCTTGGAAAGACCTTGTTCAAACACTGCACCTGCCTCGGCAATCACTTCAGAAAGTGGCAACACCTGCCGGAAGCCAAGCTCTAAGGACTTCAAGGTATGGCATTCAGAAATTCAATGTTTCAACATGTTTCAATGATTGTCAATGATTTTCAATGATTTTCAATGTATGTTTCACTTGCACCAGGTGGCATGTTAAGGTTTCGGGTTCCTTTATGTTCAGCTGGAACTACTGGTTGATGATGGGCATGAGTTATGAGCAAAATACCATGGGGAAAGGTCCAAACTTGAGTCCTTGAGGGTTGGTAAACGAAAGGCCAAGAAAAAAGATGTGGGAGCGGAGAAGGCATAGAAAGCCATGGGCGCTAGCAATGAGAAGGGAGATGTGAAGGGTAGCGTGGAGGAAGGTGGCAAGATGGTCAGAGCAAGGTGGAGTGGAGTGACTAAGTGGGAAGGAGTTGGGTGGATCGCTGGAAGAAATGAATCCATATCAAAGTGTGCAGGACAAATTGCGGGTTTGGCACTTGGACTGCTCCACATCCCTTGCTAAAGCAAGAAAAAAACATGAAAAAAATCAAGCTTGCTACCACTAGCTTTCGTGACAAGACATTGTTCAAACCCACTGCCTCTGCCTCGACTGGCTCAGGAGGGCCCTGCAATGAGCAGAGGCAGAAAGCAAATCCTGTGGGCTAAATTATGAAATCTTAATGTTTCATTGCTTCACTGTGACCATTTGCCGCATCAACACCTCCAATGCATTGTGCTTCAGTGACACTCAGTGACAACAACTGCGGCAATGATGAGGGAGCAAAATGCCGTTGAACCATGCTGAACCCTTCCACTTCGCAACACAACTTTTGACTGCTTGGAAAGACCTTGTTCAAACACTGCACCTGCCTCGGCAACTTCAGAAAGTGGCAACACCTGCCGGAAGCCAAGCTCTAAGGATTTCAAGGTATGGCATTCAGAAATTCAATGTTTCAACATATTTCAACATGTTTCAATTTATGTTTCACTTGCACCAGATGGCATGTTAAGGTTTCGGGTTCCTTTATGTTCAGCTGGAACTACTGGTTGATGATGGGCATGAGTTATGAGCAAAATACCATGGGGAAAGGTCCAAAATTGAGTCCTTGAGGGTTGGTAAACAAAAGGCCAAGACAAAAGATGTGGGAGCGGAGAAGGCATAGAAAGCCATGGGCGCTAGCAATGAGAAGGGAGATGCGAAGGGTAGCGTGGAGGAAGGTGGCAAGATGGTAAGAGCAAGGTGGAGTGGAGTGACTAAGTGGGAAGGAGTTGGGTGGATCGCTGGAAGAAATGAATCCATATCAAAGTGTTCTTGACAAATTGCGGGTTTGGCAATTGGACTGCTCCACATCCCTTGCTAAAGCAAGAAAATAACATGAAAAAATCAAGCTTGCTACCACTAGCTTTCGTGACAAGACATTGTTCAAACCCACTGCCTCTGCCTCGACTGGCTCAGGAGGGCCCTGCAATGAGCACAGGCAGAAAGCAAAATCCTGTTTGCTAAATTATGATTTCATTGCTTCACTCTGACCATTTGCCGCAGCAACACATTCTAATGCATTGTGCTTCAGTGACACTCAGTGACAACAACTGCGGCAATGATGAAGGAGTAAAATGTTGTTGAACCATGTTGAACCCTTCCACTTCGCAACACAACTTTTGACTGCTTGGAAAGACCTTGTTCAAACACTACACCTGCCTCGGCAATCACTTCAGAAAGTGGCAACACCTGCCGGAAGCCAAGCTCTAAGGATTCCAAGGTATGGCATTCAGAAATTCAATGTTTCAATGTTCCAACATGTTTCAATGTATGTTTCACTTGCACCAGGTGGCATGTTAAGGTTTCGGGTTCCTTTATGTTCAGCTGGAACTACTGGTTGATGATGGGCATGAGTTATGAGCAAAATACCATGGGGAAAGGTCCAAACTAGAGTCCTTGAGGGTTGGTAAACGAAAGGCCAAGAAAAAAGATGTGGGAGCGGAGAAGGCATAGAAAGTCATGGGCGCTAGCAATGAGAAGGGAGATGCGAAGGGTAGCGTGGAGGAAGGTGGCAAGATGGTCAGAGCAAGTTGGAGTGGAGTGACTAAGTGGGAAGGAGTTGGGTGGATCGCTGGATGAAATGAATCCAGATCAAAGTGTGCATGACAAATTGCGGGTTTGGCACTTGGACTGCTCCACATCCCTTGCGAAAGCAAGGCAAAAAGATGAACTAGACGACGGATGGCCCGAGAGCGTAGAGGAGCAGGGTCTTCTCTTGTTAGTATGGAGACACCATATTACAAAACAATATATTAAAGATGTGTTTTAGGCAGTCGAGAAGAGGAGTATCAAGACAATATAGCATAAGTACAAGACAATAGTTTGCATCGCAAACACTTTTACACACAGAAGCTTTTACACAGAGCAAGCTTTTACACAGAGAACCCCTTACACAGAGAAGCTTTTACAGGCAGGACACAGAGACACTTTTACACAGAGACGCTTTTACACACAACGCACTTTTACACACAGACACTTTTACACACAGACACTTTTACACACAGGCGCTTTTACATACAGACGCTTTTACACAGACGCTTTTACACAAAGCTTTTACCCACAGAAGCTTTTACACAGCGCTTTTACACACAGACGCTGTTACACAGACTCTTTTACACACAGACACTTTTACACACAGACGCTTTTACACACAGACACTTTCAACAAAGACCCTTTTACACACAGGAGCTTTTACACACAGAAGTGTTTACACGCAGACGCTTTTACACACAAAAGCTTTTACACACAGAAGCTTTTACACATAGACGCTTTTACACACAGACACTTTTACACACAAACACTTTTATACACAAACACTTTTACACACAGACGCTTTTACACACAGAAGCTTTTACACGCAGACACTTGTACACACAGAAGCTTTTACACACAAACGCTTTTACACACAGACGGTTTTACACACAAACACTTTTACACAGAGCACACAGAAGCTTTTAAGCAGACGCTTTTACACAGACGCTTTTACACAGATGCTTTTACACACAGAAGCTTTGACACACAGCACACAGAAGCTTTAATTGTACACACAGAAGAAATCGCAATTTTACCTTAGTTTTTGGCGATCGACCCTCATTTTGTGCGAAAGCGCGGGACAAGTTGAAATCGCAATTTTACCTCAGTTTTTGGCGATCGAACCTCATTTCGTGCGAAAGGGTTGCGCCGGACGCCTTGAAATCGCAATTTTACTTCAGTTTTTGGCGATCGAACCTCGTTTCGTGCGAAAGGGTTGCGTTTCGTGCCGTCTCGTTGGCACTGCCCCTGCCCCCGCCTTCAGAAGAGAAATAGAAAAGAAGGAGAAGGCAAGAGGGCGAGAGGGCGAGAGGGCAAGAGGGCAAGAGGAGAAGATGTGAAGATGTGAGGATGTGAAGATGTGAAGATGTGAGGATGAGAAGATGTGAAGATGAGCAGATGTGAAGATATGAAGATGTGAAGATGAGCAGAAGATGTGAAGATGTGAAGATGAGCAGATGTGAAGATGTGAAGATGAGAGGATGTGAAGATGAGAAGATGTGAAGATGAGAGGATGTGAAGATGAGAAGATGTGAAGATGTGAAGTGAGAAGATGTGAAGATGAGAAGGTGTGAAGATGAGAAGATGTGAAGATGAGAAGATGTGAAGAAGATGTGAAGAAGATGTGAAGATGTGAAGTGAGAAGATGCGAAGATGAGAAGATGTGAAGATGAGAAGATGTGAAGATGAGAAGATGTGAAGATACGAAGATGTGAAGATGAGAAGATGTGAAGATGAGAAGGTGTGAAGATGAAGATGTGAAGATGAGAGGATGTGAAGATGAGAAGATGTGAAGATGAGAAGATGAGATACAGACCTCCACTATTGGAAGAACCCTGCGCTCAGACGCTTTCGGGAAAAAAATCAAGCTCGCTATCACTAGCTTTTGTGACAAGACATTGTTCAAACCCACTGCCTCTGCCTCGACTGGCTCAGGAGGGCCCTGCAATGAGCACAGACAGAAAGCAAAATCCTGTGTGCTAAATTATGAAACCTTAATGTTTCATTGCTCCACTCTGACCATTTCCCGCATCAACACCTCCAGTGCATTGTGATTCAGTGACACTCAGTGACAACAACTGCGGCAATGATGAGGGAGCAAAATGCCGTTGAACCAAGTTGAACCCTTCCACTTCGTAACACAACTTTTGACTGCTTGGAAAGACCTTGTTCAAACACTGCACCTGCCTCGGCAACTTCAGCCCCAGGTGACGCTTCAAATTCCGCCACCTGCAGGAAGAAAGAAAGTGCTTGAAGGATCCGAGGGTATTGCAATGCCAAAACTTGACATTTCGCGATGACCATGCACTGCATCAACGCCTACCAGGCCTAGCACCTTTTTCGGGTAGTTGGATTTTCTTTGTTTTGATGAGGATGAAACTCCCGCCATATGGATCCATATGGTACTGGTACTAGGCCACTTTGAGACCCAATCATGACTGATCCCAACAAGATCTTTCTCAAATCCACTCTCTCCCCGCCTCCGCCTTGATTACCGCAGGCTTCTTTGCTGAAGCTTGCAACGCATCAAAGTGCGCAATGGCCGCCAGCATCCCCGATCCCGGCGTGTCCTCCTTCGGTTGATCCTTCATCTTCCTGCCCTCCGCCTCCAGTTCGGCCAGGTGTCGCTGCTGCAGCGCCTGGCTTTTGCCATCAACCATCCTCCATCCCAGGAGCCGCGGGTCATCCCGCGAGCGCGCGGTGACGGGGAATCTCATGCCGTACACCGACGCCGCCGTGGCTGAATCCATGGCCACAGCGAAAGCGGAAGGAGCGATGTCAACAATCAGCAGCTGAGCCAAGGTGCCTCCAGGCGACAAATGAGGACAATGATGGACAATGTGATGAATCTGAGCCCATAGCCGCTATAGCCCATAGCCACAACCAAGCTATCATGTCGTAAGGATTCGTAAGGTATCTGCAGGATCATAAGAAATCAGAGAATTCGTGTCAACTTGGAAGCTTGCAGCTCAGAACAGGCTCTGCCAAGAATTGGTTGGGGCCAAGTCAGGTGACAACAACATGCTGAAGTATCATGAAAATTCATGAAATATGTTGAATACTTGATATCGATGAGAGCAACTCAACGACAATCTTCGGAGCTAGATGACCCAATCCACCCTTGGCCCGAACCTCGCATGTCTTAAACATTCTGACTGGGCGAGTCACACTTCATCCAAAACCATCCAAAACTGATATCACAGGTATCTCTTGGATTTTTTCGTCGAATTCCGGGAAAGCCCCCAAAAACGGTAGGCTTTCCAGGCCGGCCCTCTGCTGCGATTTTTCAGTTCAAAACGTTCCATGACTTGCAGAAGCTGTGGCAAGCCATCAAATCAATCGAGGCTGCAGCCAGTTAGCCGCAGCGTGCATTTGGGGTGCAGCGTGTGAAATACCTATGGTTCTTTTTACACAATTATACACAGCTAGCAATTACATTCCACTTGAAAAATACAAACATCTGCAAGATTCCCAGACATGATATTGTCTCATTGATGCGGGTGAAACTAAATTGCTAGGCGGCGATCACTTTTGGCGCCTGGGGAACGTTGGCTTTGACTATGGACAACTAGCAGGTCACACCACCTTCCCTTGCTGCCACAAGATCCATGGCCTTCCCGACAGAATTAGGTGATGATTAGTGCTTAATGCAGCTGATCACATTCCCCACCCTTTTAAAAATGTCTAGCTGTCCAGCCCTCAACTGCAGGCCACACCAGCAGCCCAACACCTTCCCGGCTGCTGCCTTCCGCAGCAGCCGATCGCGGAGAGAAAGGCCTTGGATCTTTGGGGCTTTTGTTTTGAAGCAAGTTTCCTAACATTATCCGACCGGGTCCCAGCCTATTCTCAAGTGACGCCGAAAAGCCCTTTTGACGGAACTAAAATTTAGTTGCCAAATCCTCACATCCATCGGCAATTTCCGATTGGCACTGCACGCAGTGTCAAGCAAATTGATGTTTCCCAGATTCACAGTTGAAGGACTAGCCGACTAGCCCACCACCAGCCGACCTGGCCCATCCTGACCCTGCCCCTGTCCTGCACAAATTGCGCGATGTCATCCTGAAAGTTCATGTGGAGATGTTTGGGAAATCTGTGGGTGTCATCACCACCAACCACTTCAGGTTTGACAATTTTGCACTGGTGAAGACTGGGTCACTGCATTATGACAACGATGTCTCATCCGATTGCAGGGGTGAGAAATAATCTAAAAGTGTCTGCCCTGAGTCCAATTTCTGAACCACTTTACAAAACAAACAGTTGAAAGATGTTGAAAGGCTGTCTCCTCTACCGTATATTTTTTTTTGTAATCATGAACGGGGTCCAGGGTGGTGCGGGTGGTGGGACCCTCAAATCGCATCAAATCGCCATGCGCAACATCCAAGACCCCCTTTTCAAATCTGGCAAGCCTGCGGGGGCTGTTCCTCCTCCCCGTGAGTCTCCGAGGGCTGTTGAAACAGCGATTCTGCCTGCAATGAGCACAGGCAGAGAGCAAAATCCTGAAGATTGTCACACCCTGGGATGAATATGAAAATATTGATGATCTGGGATGTTTTCTTGCTTCACTCTGACCATTTGCCGCAGCAACACATTCTAATGCACTGTGCTTCAGTGAGACTCAGTGACAACAACTGCGGCAATGATGAGGGAGCAAAATGTCGTTGAACCATGTTGAACCCTTCCACTTCGCAACGCAACTTTTGACTGCTTGGAAAGACTTGTTCAAACACTGCACCTGCCTCGGCAATCACTTCAGACAGCGGCGCGGCTTCAAATTCCACCACCTGCAGAAAGCAAAGCTCAAGGGATTCAAAGGTATTGCATGCAGAATCTCAATGTTTCGATATATGTTTCACTTGCACCAGGTGGCATATTGCCGTTTCCGGTTCCTTTATGTTCAGCTGGAACTACTGGTTGATGATGGGCATGAGTTATGAGCGAAATACCATGGGGAAAGGTCCAAACTTGAGTCCTTGAGGGTTGGTAAACAAAAGGCCAAGACAAAAGATGTGGGAGCGGAGAAGGCATAGAAAGCCATGGGCGCTAGCAATGAGAAGGGAGATGCGAAGGGCAACGTGGAGGAAGGTGGCAAAATGGTCAGAGCGAGGTGGAGTGGAGTGACTAAGTGGGAAGGAGGTGGGTGGATCGCTGGAAGAAACGAATCCATATCAAAGTGTGCATGACAAATTGCGGGTTTGGCAATTGGACTGCTCCACATCCCTTGCTAAAGCAAGAAAAAAACATGAAAAAAATCAAGCTTGCTACCACTAGCTTTCGTGACAAGGCATTGTTCAAACCCACTGCCTCTGCCTCGACTGGCTCAGGAGGGCCCTGCAATGAGCACAGGCAGAAAGCAAAATCCTGCGGGCTAAATTATGAAATCTTAATGTTTCATTGCTTCACTCTGACAATTTGCCGCATCAACACCTCCAGTGCATTGTGCTTCAGTGACACTCAGTGACAACAACTGCCTCAACAATGAGGGAGTAAAATGTCGTTGAACCATGTTGAACCATGTTGAACCCTTCCACTTCGCAACACAACTTTTGACTGCTTGGAAAGACCTTGTTCAAACACTGCACCTGCCTCGACAATCACTTCAGAAAGTGGCAACACCTGCCGGAAGCCAAGCTCTAAGGATTTCAAGGTATGGCATTCAGAAATTCAATGTTTCAACATATTTCAACATGTTTCAATGTGTGTTTCACTTGCACCAGATGGCATGTTAAGGTTTCGGGTTCCTTTATGTTCAGCTGGAACTACTGGTTGATGATGGGCATGAGTTATGAGCAAAATACCATGGGGAAAGGTCCAAACTTGAGTCCTTGAGGGTTGGTAAACGAAAGGCCAAGACAAAAGATGTGGGAGCGGAGAAGGCATAGAAAGCCATGGGCGCTAGCAATGAGAAGGGAGATGCGAAGGGTAGCGTGGAGGAAGGTGGCAAGATGGTCAGAGCAAGGTGGAGTGGAGTGACTAAGTGGGAAGGAGTTGGGTGGATCGCTGGAAGAAATGAATCCATATCAAAATGTGCATGACAAATTGCGGGTTTGGCAATTGGACTGCTCCACATCCCTTGCTAAAGCAAGAAAAAACATGAAAAAAATCAAGCTTGCTACCACTAGCTTTCGTGACAAGACATTGTTCAAACCCACTGCCTCTGCCTCGACTGGCTCAGGAGGGCCCTGCAATGAGCACAGGCAGAAAACAAAATCCTGTGGGCTAAATTATGAAATCTTAATGTTTCATTGCTTCACTCTGACCATTTGCCGCAGCAACACATTCTAATGCATTGTGCTTCAGTGACACTCAGTGACAACTGCGGCAATGATGAGGGAGCAAAATGTCGTTGAACCATGTTGAACCCTTCCACTTCGCAACACAACTTTTGACTGCTTGGAAAGACCTTGTTCAAACACTGCACCTGGCCTCGGCAATCACTTCAGAAAGTGGCAACACCTGCCGGAAGCCAAGCTCTAAGGATTCCAAGGTATGGCATTCAGAAATTCAATGTTTCAACATATTTCAACATGTTTCAATGTTTGATTCACTTTCACCAGGTGGCATGTTAAGGTTTCGGGTTCCTTTATGTTCAGCTGGAACTACTGGTTGATGATGGGCATGAGTTATGAGCAAAATACCATGGGGAAAGGTCCAAACTTGAGTCCTTGAGGGTTGGTGAACAAAAGGCCAAGAAAAAAGATGTGGGAGCGGAGAAGGCATAGAAAGCCATGGGCGCTAGCAATGAGAAGGGAGATGCGAAGGGTAGCGTGGAGGAAGGTGGCAAGATGGTAAGAGCAAGGTGGAGTGGAGTGACTAAGTGGGAAGGAGTTGGGTGGATCGCTGGAAGAAATGAATCCATATCAAAGTGTGCATGACAAATTGCCGGTTTGGCAATTGGACTGCTCCACATCCCTTGCTAAAGCAAAAAAAATGAAAACAAGATGCAGCCCACGAACCCGAATGCTCACACGTATGTTAATGGTACAGGTGTGGAAACACATGGACATGCAGTCACGCAGAACACTTTTCTGCAATAGTTTATTGGAACAGGCTTGTACATATTTCCCCTATTACCAGTCTGCGGTGTGGAGTGGGAAGTGTAGAGTGTGGAGTGTAGAGTGTAAAGTAAGGAGTGTGGAGTATAAAGTGTGGAGTGGGGAGTGTGGAGCATGTAAAGTGTAGAGTCTAGAGTGTGGAGTGTAGAGTGTAAAGTGTGGAGTGTGGAGTGTGGAGTTTAAAGTGTAGAGTGTGGAGTGTGGAGTGCGGAGTGTAGAGTGTGGAGTGTGGCGTGTAGAGTGTAAAGTGTGGAGTGAGGAGTGTAAAGTGTGGAGTGTGGAGTGTGGTGTGTGGAGTGTGCAGTGTAGAGTGTGGAGTGTGGAGTGTGGAGTGTGGAGTGTGGAGTGGAAAGTGTAGAGTGTGGAGTGTGGAGTGTGGAGTGTGGAGTGTGGAGTGTAAAGTGAGGAGTGTGAAGTGTAAAGTGTGGAGTGAGGAGTGTGGAGTGTAGAGTGTAGAGTGTGGAGTGTGGAGTGTAAAGTCTCAGGTAAGGTGTGAGGAGTGTAAAGTGCAAAGTGTAAAGTGTGGAGTGTAAAGTGTACAGTGTGGAGTCTAAAGTGTAAATTGTGGAGTGCGGAGTGTAAAGTGTAGAGTGTGGAGTGCAGAGCTTCCCCCATAGACACGGCGACGCCACAGGAAAACGAGAGACTCGAGACGAGACACGTGGGAGCACCAAAACGAGCATTTCCTACGAGATTTCCTCCAATTTTGAAATTTTGTGAACATCATCAAACAGGTTGGAATGTCAGAAAGTACCACGTCTGCCACGCAAAACAACATGACAACCTGCTTGGAAACATTCGAAAAGGACAGGTTTTCCAGCTTCCCCCATAGACACGGCGACGCCACAGGAAAACGAGAGACTCGAGACGAGACACGTGGGAGCACCAAAACGAGCATTTCCTACGAGATTTCCTCCAATTTTGAAATTTTGTGAACATCATCAAACAGGTTGGAATGTCAGAAAGTACCACGTCTGCCACGCAAAACAACATGACAACCTGCTTGGAAACATTCGAAAAGGACAGGTTTTCCAGCTTCCCCCATAGACACGGCGACGCCACAGGAAAACCAGCGACTCGAGACAAGACACGTGGATGCAGAAAAACCAGCATTTCGTACGAGACCTCCTCCAATTTTCACACTTTGTAGCTTCAAAATCGACGTTTTCCTAGGAGTTTTCCTTAGAACCTGAAAATTTGCAACCTCAAAATCCATGTTTCGTGCGAGGCTTCCGTCAATTTTCAGCACATCGTACAAAATGCCACGACTGCCACGGAATTTGCACCTTGTCGCCACTGACGCACCCCTCCAATGCGATTTGCAAAAAACACGCAACACGACACGTCTAAAGTGCTGCGCCTGCCACGAAAAATGACGATGGACACGTCCAAAGTGCTGCGCCTGCCACGAAAACTGCAACACATCTTCTGAAAACGTCGCAAAAGTATTGCGCCTGCCAGGCAAAACGACTTTCGACACGTTCCAGAACACGTCTGAATGTCACGAAGTGCCACGCCTGCCACGCGAAACGAAGCAACGACACGTCTGAAACCTCCAAAAAGGACCACCTCTGCAAAACTTCCAATAGGCACGGCCATACGGGGATCGCGCGGACGGTTGCGAACGGTTGCGAACGGTTGCGGACGGTTGCGGACGGTTGCGAACGGTTGCGACCACAAACGCAACGTCGAGCGAACACACCCTCAACCCCCAGACCCCCAGAGTGAAACGGGAACCCTTGCTACGCATTCGGGAAAAATCAGGCTTGCTACCACTAGCTTTCGTGACAAGACATTGTTCAAACCCACTGCCTCTGCCTCGACTGGCTCAGGAGGGCCCTGCAATGAGCACGGGCAGAAAGCAAAATCCTGTGTGCTAAATTATGGAATCTTAATGTTTCATTGCTTCACTCTGACCATTTGCCGCAGCAACACATTCTAATGCATTGTGATTCAGTGACACTCATTGACAACAACTGCGGCAATGATGAGGGAGCAAAATGTCGTTGAACCATGTTGAACCATGTTGAACCCTTCCACTTCGCAACACAACTTTTGACTGCTTGGAAAGACCTTGTTCAAACACTGCCTGCCTCGGCAATCACTTCAGAAAGTGGCAACACCTGCCGGAAGCCAAGCTCTAAGGATTTCAAGGTATGGCATTCAGAAATTCAATGTTTCAACATGTTTCAATGATTTTCAATGCATGTTTCACTTGCACCAGGTGGCATGTTAAGGTTTCGGGTTCCTTTATGTTCAGCTGGAACTACTGGTTGATGATGGGCATGAGTTATGAGCACAATACCATGGGGAAAGGTCCAAACTTGAGTCCTTGAGGGTTGGTACGGGGTGGCGACGAAACGAGGGGTAGACTGACGCACGGAAAAGGCAAGGAAAAAAAAAGATGTGGAGCGAGAGGCATAGAAAGCCTGGGCGCTAAGCAATGAGAAGGGGAGATGCGAAGGGTAGCGTGGCGGAAGGTGGCAAAGATGGTAAAGAGCAATGTGGAGTGGAGTGTACTAAGTGGGAAGGAGTTGGGCGGATCGCTGGATGAAATTAATCCATAATCAAGTGTGCATGACACATTGCGAGGTGGCAATTGGACTGCTCCCACATCCCTTGCTAAAGCAAGACAAAAACATAAAAAAATCAAGCTTTTGCTACCACTAGCTTTTCTGACAAACTTGTTCCACACATGCTCAAACCCACTGCCTCTGCCTCGACTGGGGGCTCAGGAGGGCCCTGCAATGAACACAGGCAGAAAGCAAAATCCTGTGGGCTAACTTATGAAATCTTAATGTTTCATGGCTTCACTCTGACAATTTGCCGCAGCAACACATTCTAATGCATTGTGATTCAGTGACACTCAGTGACAACAACTGCCTCAACAATGAGGGAGTAAAATGTCGTTGAACCATGTTGAACCATGTTGAACCCTTCCACTTCGCAACACAACTTTTGACTGCTTGGAAAGACCTTGTTCAAACACTGCACCTGCCTCGGCAATCACTTCAGAAAGTGGCAACACCTGCCGGAAGCCAAGCTCTAAGGATTCCAAGGTATGGCATTCAGAAATTCAATGTTTCAACATATTTCAATGATTTTCAATGTATGTTTCGCTTGCACCAGGTGGCATGTTAAGGTTTCGGGTTCCTTTATGTTCAGCTGGAACTACTGGTTGATGATGGGCATGAGTTATGAGCAAAATACCATGGGGAAAGGTCCAAACTTGAGCCCTTGAGGGTTGGTAAACAAAAGGCCAAGAAAAAAGATGTGGGAGCGGAGAAGGCATAGAAAGCCATGGGCGCTAGCAATGAGAAGGGAGATGCGAAGGGTAGCGTGGAGGAAGGTGGCAAGATGGTCAGAGCAAGGTGGAGTGGAATGACTAAGCGGGAAGGAGTTGGGTGGATCACTGGAAGAAATGAATCCATATCAAAGTGTGCATGACAAATTGCGGGTTTGGCACTTGGACTGCTCCACATCCCTTGCGAAAGCAAGGCAGAAAGATCAAAAAATCAAGCTCGCTATCACTAGCTTTTGTGACAAGACATTGTTCAAACCCACTGCCTCTGCCTCGACTGGCTCAGGAGGGCCCTGCAATGAGCACAGGCAGAAAGCAAAATCCTGTGTGCTAAATTATGAAATCTTAATCTTAATGTTTCATTGCTTCACTCTGACCATTTCCCGCATCAACACCTCCAATGCATTGTGCTTCAGTGACACTCAGTGACAAAAACTCTGGCAATGATGAGGGAGTAAAATGTCGTTGAACCATGTTGAACCATGTTGAACCCTTCCACTTCGCAACACAACTTTTGACTGCTTGGAAAGACCTTGTTCAAACACTACACCTGCCTCGGCAACTTCAGCCCCAGGTGACGCTTCAAATTCCGCCACCTGCAGAAAGAAAGAAAGTGCTTGAAGGATCCGAAGGTTTTGCAATGCCAAAACTTGACATTCCGCGATGACCATGCACTGCATCAACGCCTGCCACCTTTTTCGGGTAGTTTTTTTCAAATTTGTTTTGATGAGGATGAAACTCCCGCCACATGGTACTGGATGTACTGGTACTAGGCCACTTTGAGACCCAATCATGACTGATCCCAACAAGATCTTTCTCAAATCCACTCTCTCCTCGCCTCCGCCTTGATCACAGGTTTCTTTGCTGCTTGCAACGCATCAAAGTGCGCAATGGCCGCCAGCATCCCCGATCCCGGCGTGTCCTCCTTCGGTTGATCCTTCATCTTCCTGCCCTCCGCCTCCAGTTCGGCCAGGTGTCGCTGCTGCAGCGCCTGGCTTTTGCCATCAACCATCCTCCATCCCAGGAGCCGCGGGTCATCCCGCGAGCGTGCGGTGACGGGGAATCTCATGCCGTACACCGACGCCGCCGTGGCTGAATCCATGGCAGCGATTCAGCTGGAGCGATGTCAACAATCAGCTGAGCCAAGGTGTCTCCAGGCGACTGAGGACAATGATGGACAATGTGATGAATCTGAGCCCATAGCCGCTATAGCCCATAGCCACAACCAAGCTATCATGTCGTAAGGATTCGTAAGGTATCTGCAGGATCATAAGAAATCAGAGAAAGTGTCAACTTGGAAGCTTGCAGCTCAGAACAGGCTCTGCCAAGAATTGGTTGGGGCCAAGTCAGGTGACAACAACATGCTGAAGTATCATGAAAATTCATGAAATATGTTGAATACTTGATATCGATGAGAGCGACTCAACGGCAATCTTCGGAGCTAAATGACCCAATCCACCCTTGGCCCGAACATGCCCGAACCTCGCATGTCTTGAACATTCTGACTGGGCGAGTCACACTTCATCCAAAACCATCCAAAACTGATATCACAGGTATCTCTTGGAATTTTTACGTCAAATTCCGGGAAAGCCCCCAAAAACGGTAGGCTTTCCAGGCCGGCCCTCTGCTGCGATTTTTCAGTTCAAAACGTTCCATGACTTGCAGAAGCTGTGGCAAGCCATCAAATCAATCGAGGCTGCAGCCAGTTAGCCGCAGCGTGCATTTGGGGTGCAGCGTGTGAAATACCTATGGTTCTTTTTACACAATTATACACAGCTAGCAATTACATTCCACTTAAAAAATACAAACATCTGCAAGATTCCCAGACATGATATTGTCTCATTGATGCGGGTGAAACTAAATTGCTAGGCGGCGATCACTTTTGGCGCCTGGGGAACGTTGGCTTTGACTATGGACAACTAGCAGGTCACACCACCTTCATCCACCTTCCCTTGCTGCCACAAGATCCATGGTCCCGACAGAATTAGGTGATGATTAGTGCTTAATGCAGCTGATCACATTCCCCACCCTTTTAAAAATGTCTAGCTGTCCAGCCCTCAACTGCAGGTCACACCAGCAGCCCAACACCTTCCCGGCTGCTGCCTGCCGCAGCAGCCGATCGCGGAGAGAAAGGCCTTGGATCTTTGGGGCTTTTGTTATGAAGCAAGTTTCCAAACATTATCCGACCGGGTCCCAGCCTATTCTCAAGTGACGCCGAAAAGCCCTTTTGACGGAACTAAAATTTAGTTGCTAAATCATGCTAAATCCTCACATCCATCGGCAATTTCCGATTGGCACTGCACGCAGTGTCAAGCGAATTGATGTTTCCCAGATCCACAGTTGAAGGACTAGCCGGCTAGCCCACCACCAGCTGACCTGGCCCATCCTGACCCTGCCCCCGTCCTGCACAAATTGCGCGATGTCATCCTGAAAGTTCATGAGATGTTTGGGAAATCTGTGGGTGTCATCACCACCAACCACTTCAGGTTTGACAATTTTGCACTGGTGAAGACTGGGTCACTAGGTGCATTATGACAACGATGTCTCATCCGATGGGGTGAGAAATAATCTAAAAGTGTCTGCCCTGAGTCCAATTTCTTGTGGGAAGATGTTGAAAGGCTGTCTCCTCTCTTTTTTTTTGAAATCATGAACAGGGTCCAGGGTGGTGGGACCCTCAAATCGCCATGCGCAACATCCAAGACCCCCTTTTCAAATCTGGCAAGCCTGCGGGGGCTGTTCCTCCTCCCCGTGAGTCTCCGAGGGCTGTTGAAACAGCGATTCTGCCTGCAATGAGCACGGGCAGAAAGCAAAATCCTGAAGATTGTCACACCCTGGGATGAATTATGAAAATATTGATGATCTGGGATGTTTTCTTGCTTCACTCTGACCATTTGCCGCAGCAACACATTCTAATGCGTTGTGCTTCAGTGACACTCAGTGACAACAACTGCGGCAATGATGACGGAGCAAAATGTCGTTGAACCATGTTGAACCCTTCCAGATCGCAACACAACTTTTGACTGCTTGGAAAGACCTTGTTCAAACACTGCACCTGCCTCGGCAATCACTTCAGACAGCGGCGCTGCTTCAAATTCCACCACCTGCAGAAAGCAAAGCTCAAGGGATTCAAAGGTATTGCATGCAGAATCTCAATGTTTCAATATATGTTTCACTTGCACCAGGTGGCATATTGCGGCTTCCGGTTCCTTTATGTTCAGCTGGAACTGTATACTGGTTGATGATGGGCATGGGTTATGAGCAAAATACCATGGGGAAAGGTCCAAACTTGAGTCCTTGAGGGTTGGTAAACAAAAAGCCAAGAAAAAAGATGTGGGAGCGGAGAAGGCATAGAAAGCCATGGGCGCTAGCAATGAGAAGGGAGATGCGAGGGGTAGCGTGGAGGAAGGTGGCAAGATGGTCAGAGCAAGGGTGGATGGAGGACAAGTGGAAGAGTTGGGTGGATCGCTGGAAAGACAATGATCCATATAAAGTGTGCATGACAAATTGCGGGTTTTGGCAATTGGACTGCTCCACATCCCCTTGCTAACGCAGAAAAAAACATGAAAAAAAAAAATCAAGCTTGCTACCACTAGCTTTTGTGACAAGACATTGTTCAAACCCACTGCCTCTGCCTCGACTGGCTCAGGAGGGCCCTGCAATGAGCACAGGCGGAAAGCAAAATCCTGTGGGCTAAATTATGAAATCTTAATGTTTCATTGCTTCACTCTGACCATTTGCCGCAGCAACACATTCTAATGCATTGTGCTTCAGTGACACTCAGTGACAACAACTGCGGCAATGATGAGGGAGCAAAATGTCGTTGAACCATGTTGAACCCTTCCACTTCGCAACACAACTTTTGACTGCTTGGAAAGACCTTGTTCAAACACTGCACCTGCCTCGGCAATCACTTCAGAAAGTGGCAACACCTGCCGGAAGCCAAGCTCTAAGGATTTCAAGGTATGGCGTTCAGAAATTCAATGTTTCAACATGTTTCAATGATTTTCAATGATTTTCAATGTATGTTTCGCTTGCACCAGGTGGCATGTTGAGGTTTCGGGTTCCTTTATGTTCAGCTGGAACTACTGGTTGATGATGGGCATGAGTTATGAGCAAAATACCATGGGGAAAGGTCCAAACTTGAGTCCTTGAGGGTTGGTAAACAAAAAGCCAAGAAAAAAGATGTGGGAGCGGAGAAGGCATAGAAAGCCATGGGCGCTAGCAATGAGAAGGGAGATGCGAAGGGTAGCGTGGAGGACGGTGGCAAGATGGTCAGAGCAAGGTGGAGTGGAGTGACTAAGTGGGAAGGAGTTGGGTGGATCGCTGGAAGAAATAAATCCATATCAAAGTGTGAATGACAAATTGCCGGTTTGGCAATTGGACTGCTCCACATCCCTTGCTAAAGCAAGAAAAAAACATGAAAAAAATCAAGCTTGCTACCACTAGCTTTCGTGACAAGACATTGTTCAAACCCACTGCCTCTGCCTCGACTGGCTCAGGAGGGCCCTGCAATGAGCACAGGCAGAAAGCAAAATCCTGTGGGCTAAATTATGAACTCTGAATGTTTCATTGCTTCACTCTGACCATTTGCCGCAGCAACACATTCTAATGCATTGTGATTCAGTGATACTCATTGACAACAACTGCGGCAATGATGAGGGAGCAAAATGTCGTTGAACCATGTTGAACCATGTTGAACCCTTCCACTTCGCAACACAACTTTTGACTGCTTGGAAAGACCTTGTTCAAACACTGCACCTGCCTCGGCAATCACTTCAGAAAGTGGCAACACCTGCCGGAAGCCAAGCTCTAAGGACTTCAAGGTATGGCATTCAGAAATTCAATGTTTCAACATGTTTCAATGATTGTCAATGATTTTCAATGATTTTCAATGTATGTTTCACTTGCACCAGGTGGCATGTTAAGGTTTCGGGTTCCTTTATGTTCAGCTGGAACTACTGGTTGATGATGGGCATGAGTTATGAGCAAAATACCATGGGGAAAGGTCCAAACTTGAGTCCTTGAGGGTTGGTAAACGAAAGGCCAAGAAAAAAGATGTGGGAGCGGAGAAGGCATAGAAAGCCATGGGCGCTAGCAATGAGAAGGGAGATGCGAAGGGTAGCGTGGAGGAAGGTGGCAAGATTCAGAGCAAGGTGGAGTGGAGTGACTAAGTGGGAAGGAGTTGGGCGGATCGCTGGATGAAATGAATCCATATCAAAGTGTGCAGGACAAATTGCGAGTTTGGCAATTGGACTGCTCCACATCCCTTGCTAAAGCAAGAAAACAAGATGAAGCCCACGAACCCGAATGCTCACACGTATGTTAATGGTACAGATGTCAAAACACATGGTTATGCAGTCACGCACAATACCTTTCTGTAATAGTTTATTTGAACAGTCTTGTACATGTTTCCCTTGTTACCAGTCTGCAGTGTGGAGTGGAAAGTGTAGAGTGTGGAGTGCGGAGTGTGAAGTAAGGAGTGTGGAGTGTAAAGTGTGGAGTGGGGAGTGTAGAGTGTGTAAAGTGTAGAATGCGGAGTGTAAAGTGTAGAGTGTGGAGTATGGAGTGTAAAGTGTAGAGTATGGAGTGTGGAGTGTAAAGTGTGGAGCGTAAAGTGTGGAGTGAGGAGAGTAAAGTGGAAAGGGTCGAGTGTAAAGTGTAAAGTGTGGAGTGTAGAGTGTATAGTGTAGAGTGTAAAGTGTAGAGTGTGGAGTATGGGGTGTAAAGTGTGGGGTGTAAAGTGTAGAGTGTGGAGAGTAAAGTGTGGAGTGTAAAGTGTGGAGTGAGGAGTGTAAAGTGTGGAGTGCGGAGTGTAAAGTGTAGAGTGTGGAGTATGGAGTGTAAAGTGTGGAGTGTGAAGTGTGGAGTGTAAAGTGTGGAGTGAGGAGTGTAAAGTGTGGAGTGAGGAGTGTAAAGTGTGGAGTGTGGAGTGTAAACTGTGGAGTGTGGAGTGAGGAGTGTAAAGTGTGGAGTGTGGAGTGTAAAGTGTGAAGTGTAAAGTGTGCAGTGTGGAGCGTACAGTGTAGAGTGTGGAGTCTGGAGTGGAAAGTGTAGAGTGTGGTGTGTAGAGTGTGGAGTGTGGAGTGCAAAGTGAGGAGTGTAAAGTGTGGAGTGTGGAGTGCGGAGTGTGGAGTGGAAAGTGTAGAGTGTGGAGTGTGGAGTGTAAAGTGGGGAGTATGGAGTGTAGAGTGTGGAGTGTAAAGTGTTGAGTGTGGAGTGAGGAGTGTAAAGTGTGGAGTGCGAAATGTGGAGTGGAAAGTGTAGAGTGTGGTGTGTAGAGTGGAGTGTGGAGTGTAAAATGTAAAGTGTGGAGTGTAGAGTGTAAAGTGTAGAGTGTGGAGTGTGAAGTGTAGAGTGTAAAGTGTAGAGTGTAAAGTGTAGAGTGTGGAGTGTAGAGTGTAAAGTGACGATTGTAAAGTGTGGAGTGAGGAGTGTAACGTGTGGAGTGTGGAGTGTAAAGTGTGGAGTGCGAAGTGTGGAGTGGTGTGGAGTGTAAAGTGTGGAGTGTGAAGTGTGGGGTGTGGAGTGTTGAGCGTAAAGTGTAGAGTGTGGAGTCTGGAGTGGAAAGTGTAGAGTGTGGTGTGTAGAGTGTGGAGTGTGGTGTGTAAAGTGAGGAGTGTAAAGTGTGGAGTGTGGAGTGAGGAGTGTAAAGTATAAAGTGTGGAGTGTGGAGTAAAGTGTGGAGTGTAGAGTGCGGAGTGTGGAGTGGAAAGTGTAGAGTGTGGAGTGTGGAGTGTAAAGTGGGGAGTGTGGAGTGTAGAGTGTGGAGTGAGGAGTGTAAAGTGTAAAGTGTGGAGTGTGGAGTGTAAAGTGTAGAGTGTGGAGTGTAAAGAAGCAAAGTGTCAAGTGTGGAGCTTCCCCCATAGACACGGCGACGCCACAGGACAACCAGCGACTCCAGACGACGCACGTGGGTGCAAAAAAACGAGCATTTCGTACGAGACTTCCTCCAATTTTGATATTTTCCACACGTTATCAAACAGGTTGGAATGTCACAAAGTGCCACGCCTGCCACGCAAAACGACATGACAACCTGCTTGGAAACATTCGAAAAGGACAGGTTTGCCAGCTTCCCCCATAGACACGGCGACGCCACAGGAAAACCAGCGACTCGAGACAAGACACGTGGATGCAGAAAAACCAGCATTTCGTACGAGACTTCATCCAATTTTGACATTTTTGACACATAATCGAACAGGTTGGAATGTCAAAAAGTGCCACGTCTGCCACGCAAAACAACATGACAACCTGCTTGGAAACATTCGAAAAGGACAGGTTTTCCAGCTTCCCCCATAGACACGGCGACGCCACAGAAAAACAAGCGACTCGAGACAAGACACGTGGATGCAGAAAAACAAGCATTTTGTGCGAGACTTCCGGCAATTTTCACAGTTGGCAGCACGACAAAAAGACAAGTTTTGCAGCTTCCCCCATAGACACGGCGAGGCCACGGGAAAACCAGACACGCGAGAAGAGACAGGTGGGAGCACCAAAACGACCATTTCGTGCGAGACTTCCTCCAATTTTCACACTTTGCAGCTTCAAAATCGACGTTTTCCTACGAGTTTTCCTTAGAACCCGAAAATTGGCAACATCAAAATCGATGTTTCGTGCGAGGCCTCCGTCAATTTTCAGCACATCGCACAAAATGCCACGCCTGCCACGGAATTTGCACCTTGTCACCACTTGACGCAGCCCTGCCAATGCGATTTACAAAAAACACGCAACAGGACACGTCTAAAGTGCTGCGCCTGCCACGAAAAATGACGATGGACACGTCCAAAGTGCTGCGCCTGCCACGAAAACTGCAACACATCTTCTGAAAACGTCACAAAAGTACTGCGCCTGCCACGCAAAACGATTTTCAACACGTTGCAAAACATGTCTGAATGTCACGAAGTGCCATGCCTGCCACGCGAAACGAAGCAACGACACGTCTGAAACCTCCAAAAATGACCACCTCTGCAGAACTTCCCATAGGCACGGCCATACGGACCTCGTACGAACGGTTGCGGACGGTTGCGAACGGTTGCGGACGCGGACGCAACGTCGAGCGAACACACTCTCAACCCCCAGACCCCCAGAGTGAAACGGGAACCCTTGCTACGCATTCGGGAAAAATGCTAGAAAGTGCGCAAGGGCATAAACAGATAGAAACTAGAAAAAATGCTAGAAAACTTGCAAGGGCATAAACAGATAGAAACTAGAACATGTGCTGGAAAGCTTGCAAGGGCATAAACACATAGGATAAATGCCAGAACATGGAGCTTGCAAGAGCATAAACAGATAAACTAGAAAAAATGCTAGAAAGTGCGCAAGGGCATAAACACGTTATTGAGTACTTATCAAATAGTTGAATCATGTTGAATCATGTTGAATTCAGACTGAATATAGTTCATGACTTCACGTAAGTTCTAGACGAAATGACATGAATTGAGATGAATTAGTTTGAGATGAATCTCTTGAAATGAATCATGGAATGAATCTGTCGGAATCGTTTTTGTGGTGCTTGCGTTTTTCTCATCACATTCTTATCAAATGTAGAACTTTGAGAACATGTTCATAGCAACTTCTGAATGGTTATGCTCACTGAAAGCAATCCAGTGGTTGTTTTCATTTCCTTAGGCATTGCGTCTCAAGATCTAGCAATTTGATGGCTGCTGGCTTTGGCATGTTGCGTTTGGTTTCCAGGCACGTCCACTGCGGCGTGTGGAACTTTAGGTCGCTGAGAGGCTCCAGACGACCACTGCGTCCTTGAAAAAAATCGTCACTGATCAACGGTGCTTAATTTTTGAGTCTGGTGATTTGAGCGAAAGGTGTTGTGAGGAAAACATGGAGGTGGACCTGGCAGAATGTCGCGCTCGACTCGCGTCGCTATTTGAGGTTGACAAAGCGTTGCCTAGAGCCATGACTACAAACTACGAACTGTTTACCACACCACTACGTTTCATCCAAGTATCGTACTGTGAAGGCCACTGTTTTGCCCTCAACCTGAACAGTGGGAACGTTCACAGGCTGAAACAGTAGTTTGCTAGGTATAAGGAAACGAAGTACATTGATGTACTATAGGTACAATTCATTTTGTACAGCTACAGGACCACATGCCACAGAGCAAGAGTTCAATGCAAAAGAAAGCACCTTCTCGCACTAAAGTGAACATTGGTCTGTAATGGTTGCTTCGTTGTTTGTGTGAAGAATCATAGCAATGCTGTGGAATGATTCACATATGCATTGGTTGTGTCCGGAAACTGGTTGTGCAAGTCTTGTATTGAGTCTGAATAGGTTGCTTTGGGCGCAGTCATTTATTTGAAACAGACATCTAGCATTTCGTGCTTTGAACAAGAAAGAATGGCGTGTTTTGACGGCCTTTCGTCCTGTTCAACTCTCAGTCATCTGTGTTTGACAGGAATCTTGGGGCAAACACTGAGCAGTATCTTTGTATGGTCAACATCCTCAACACCCCATCCAACGAAAATACAAACTTTGGATTCTGGGTAAAACATGGAATGGTTAGTTTGGTAACTGCTGCATACTGAATTTCATTGTTTTTCCTGCTTTGCAATGGATATACCTCTGCTCCCATTGTCACCTGTCAAGGCTGGTCGTGGGCAAGTTCCCACGCTCCGTTTGTTCCACGGGGGCCACACTCGGTCCGGGAAGAAGTGGGGCTTGGGGTTCCAGATGTGTCCCAAAACTGCAACATGGTAGCCATATGGTAGCCAGCTGTAGATGATTTGTGACTTGAGCACTAGTTTCCCAGCACAGCTTGAGTTTCCCAGTAGTTTCCGTTTTTGCAGCGTAGCTTTACTGTGATTGACGGAGAGATAGCTTGGTATCTTGCGATGTCTTGTGATTCATTTTGTATTTTGTTGCACTTCAATGCGGCGAACACATTTGTTTTATAATATGTTATTTTGTGAGCCAGAGGAATCCCAAGGATATGTGATATGTGCATCAAACCTTTCACATTCCATCATATCAACAAAAACTGGACTTGGCGCCCATTCCAAAAATAACTCCTGTGTGAACTTTGTGCCTGACTAAGCCAAAGCCAGGCGATCACAAATTGTTCTCACATCTCTTTGTTTGCCAGGTCAGGCGTTCTACGACTTATTCCCTAATTTTCACGCTGAAGGAGGGGCCAGCGGTGATTGAGGAGACCGAAGACAAGACCTTCCGTGGTGATATTAAAGATGGTGCAAAACATTGTTTTGTCTCTTTTCCCGGCAAATTTGCCTCGGCCTGGGACGCTCTCATCCATGAGGAAGCAGTGCATGCTGAAAGCATAGCATGCGTTTTCCTGTGCACACCGGACGATGGTCTTGGCGTTCATGAGCCTGATCCTCTTAGACCGGAAATTTGCTACTGCAAAACCATTTATGGGGAACGAACTGCAAAAGAGTTTGGCTATTTCAAGATTCTGCCAAGAGGATGCACACCAGATCAAGAAGAAAAGGCGAGGAAGAAAGCTGCGTTTACAAACACTGTGGTGGTTCGCGAAGATGCCAGTACCGAGGAGAAAGAAGCAGCTATGGAGGAGGCTGAGCAGGCATGGGAGAGGAATGGCAGGATTGCCGCCTGGGGCTGTAGGTGGTTTCAGGTCTGGAAGGAAAAAGTTGAGGAAGCAGTCAGACAGGAACAAACTCTGAAGGTGGTCTTTTTCCCTGGCCAAGTGGGCCAGGGCAAAGTTGCATGGAAAGACCTCGCCACAGTACCAGACCTTTGGGACGGCATTGGCTGCGGTGGTTCCCAGAAGTGCGAAGTGGCGTATTTGGACATGATGCAAGAGAAATGTGGACAGGATTGGCATTATGAAGGTGTTGATGTGGTCAATTTTTTGAAGAACGAGTTTGCAAAGGGCAAAGTCGTCAATGCATTTGATGGCAAGCAGTGGTGCAGAGGAGAGCTACTGGCTCGGCCGACCCTGGGATCAAGATCTAAGCCGTCTCCAGAAGATCCAAACAAAAAGGAGCAGGTTCTCCAGTGCAGAGTTCAATCCCATGGAAAAGTTTTTACCACAGAAAGGGTGCGCCATCGAGATGATATCCAAAAACTCCTTCATTCAGTTGGCAAAGACCAGTTTTTGGAAATCATGAAACAGATCCTCCCAGATGACGTGAAGATTGTCCGCCATGAAGACTCCATTCTTCCCAATGGCACAGATTGCTTGCAAACTGAAATTCAGGTGGAAACCGTTGAAGCAATGCAAGAGCTCCGCAACGCAATTCTGAATCACAATTTCGAGATTAGCCTGAACCAGGAACTGCTTGCAAGGCAACACGGGACATTGCAGCTTTGCGTTAACAAGACACACTTTTGCCAAAGCTACGAGCAGCAGCTCTTGAGCATATCAAAGCTGACGCGGCATCAAGCTGAGAAATACAAGGAAATTAAAGAAAAGTTGTCAACAGCTGTACATTTATCGTCTGTTGCTGGAGCAGGGAAAACGTTCCTAGCTGTTGAACTCATGATCGATGCCTTGAAGCAAAACTCGTCAGGACAGGTGCTTTTTGTCGCACCATCTGCATCATTGTCTTTGCATTTCCTCCGTTGGCTGGGACGGAGGGCAGCGCGGGAAAAGTTTGACTTCGAAGGTTTGCTCGACAGAGTTCTTGTCATGATTCCTCCATACAAATGCTTGATGAAGTGCTGTATCAAAGATAAGTCCATAGATTTGATACCTTGCCTGCCAGCCAGCGATCCAGCAAAACAGTCATTGCTTCTACAAATTATTGATGAAGCCCAAGATGTATTCTTCGACAATGTGCATCATGATTTTCTTCACAGTATCAGCAGTGGCTGCAAAAGGCAGTTGCTGTTATCCAGCCAATGCCAGTGCTCATCAGTCCCTCAAGAACTATTCCCTGACATACCAACAATCCGCTTGACAGAAGTAATTCGCAGTACCCAACGGATAGTGGCAGGGGCAGCGGTTTTTCACTCAGCCGCCAGGGTCAAAGAAAACTTGAAATCAGTGTGCCCTGACGGACCACCAGTGAAAACATTCATTTTCAATCGTCCTGCAGGCATTGACAGCGTTGACCGCCACGTGCTGTACGATGTCTATGTTCAAAAGACTGTGGCTGGCATATGGCACGCGGTCCGTTCATATGCAGGCCTGAGCTTGCACAATAGGCTGGGCCTTTTGGTCCCCAATGATGAGTTCCTACAACAGTTCAAGCAACTCCTCGATTTGGCTCTGAAGGAGCATTTTCCAATGAGAGACTTTGAGCTGGTTACGTATGAAGAATCCCTGTCTATTTTACCCCCGGATCTTCAGGCAGGGCTGGCTGTTGATGACAAAGGTGGACAAAGTGAAATGAATGAAATGAGTGAAATGATCATCTTGGACCACATGGAAAACTGCAAAGGCTTAGAGAACCTGATTGTCATGTGCATCGGTTTGGATGAACCCATTGGAACACAATCAGAAACAGCGGCCACAAGAGCCCGACTGTATCGAGGAATCACTAGAGCTCAAGTCCAGGCCATCGTTATCAACGAACACATCTCGGGTGGATGGCTTGAATTCCTGGGTTTTCTCAAATACGAACCTGCGAAGTTTGAAGAATCCAAAGCATTGGAAGAAGCAAAAGCAGAGGCAGCTGCTCAAGTCATTTCAGCCCGACCTGAACGCAATCCAGAAAAGGATGCTACTTTGACCGACACGTCGCGCAGTCACGCTTCAGAAAGCAAGAACCAAGAGAAGAAGACCTCTGCGGTGAATGCCACCACGACCCTGGTTTGGGACACCGATGACAATGACCTGAATACCGATACCACAGCAGCCATCCAGAAGCTGATGTTCGATCCTCGCGTGGCTTGCCTGAAATGGACAGTTGTTGACAGTTGTTGATAGTTGTTTCTCTTGAGACATGATTTTTCAAGCTGCTCCTCAATCCAGGCTGGTTGGCTGATTTTGTTTGCCTCTAAGTTTTGCTGCTGGTGCCTCATGGTTTTGAATTGCTTTGTTCACGGCTTGACCGGAACAACACCTGCAAGAAGATCCAGAACAAGTCGCAGCCGACGAAGCCGCGGCTGCGAAATGTCTGGATCTCAGTCGGTATACTGACTATAGAACTATAGAACTTGATGCTACCTCAGGTAGAAGATCTAGAAGTAAATTTGAAGTTGCACTTCAAGTTCCATAACATTGAACATCAGGAACTTCAAAGTTCAATAAGTTGAGGTTTCTAATTGATTCAATGGAATTTCAATAGTAGCAGACTTAGCAGACTTGGACTTAGAGAAAACATAAAGATCAAAGGAAAAAAAACGGAAAAAAAAACATCGTCATTTCTGTTTCATTCCTCCGCGCGCCGAGACGACCACATCGCCCGCGCGGCGCAAAACGGCAACCTCCCGGCCGTCCGGGGCCACCTGCGCCGCGACCGCGGCAGCCTCGACCGACTCTTCGATGGCCTGTCAGCGCTGCACCTGGCAGCCCGGAACGACCACCCGGCGGTCGTGGCGTTCCTCGTGGCGAAGGGCGCCGCCGTGGACGTCCTTGGCGGCCGAGGCCGTGGGGAGCTCAGCGATCGCCGCCGGTCACGGCGCTGCGAGTGCCACTCCGCCGGTGCTGAGGTGCCACTCCGCTGCACTTTGCAGCAATCTACGGCCGCGTGGAGTGCGCCCAGCAGCTGCTGGCAGCAAAGGCCTCCGTGGACAGCAAGGACATCAACGGCTGGGGGCCTCAGCCGATGTCCCGTTTTTGAACACCTTTTTTTTTCACCGGTAATCACAATAACAGATATAACAAATTAGATATAACAGGTGCAGTTCAACGAATGTGGCGTGTCTCAATGACTTATGACACATCTTTTAAGTTTTTTCAACTTCAGCATGAGATTTCACTGGATTTATCATCTCAGGTTCCCGTCTTCAAAGTTGCCTTGAAATTCAATAGCCGTGATTTTGGGGCGTGTGTCTGTTGAAAAAAATAGGGTTTAGAGATGTTTAGAGTTCATCCATGTCTTTGACATCCGTGTGAGCCAAATGAGAAAAATGAAACAGCGCTTTCCGCACATTGTTTCCACAGGTCAAATTCTGCAGTCCGCTCGGCGATCACCTGAAGTGATATATTGGAAAGGGCCACTTAGCTGTGCTTCCCAGGCGACACGCCCTTGGACCATGCGAGACAAAACGGCCACACGGAAGTGGTGAACCTGCTGATGGAAAAAGCCTCTTGGCTGCACGGGCGAGGCTCAATGCAGTGCCCAATGGCATAGTAGGTGGGAATATCCATGGATGAAACATGGTGAAGCCGCTGGCACTGGTGGGAATGACACCATGAAAGGCGTACCAGGGATGTTTACGCATCCGATTTTGGACACATGAATTGGCTCGGCGAGAGCACATCAGATTATCAGATTATGCACGGACAGAACATTGTTTGCACATTTGCTCCGCCCAAGGCATGAAATGTAAGGCCTGGAACCGGGAATAGCTCTTTTGGTGTCTGATGTGCCAGTCAGTTTTTGCTGGTATTATAATAAAGAACTGGAGCGATCATCAAAACATTCGCGGGAATGATAAACATGGCTAGGGCTAGCAAGCAGCTCCTACTTGCCTGTGAGGAGCTTTGTTTGATTGTTAATTAGTTAATTAGCAAACATGCGAAACTTGATGAACATTGCAAACACCAAAGCTGTGACTGTTGGGCTTATAACAGCATGCTGTGTATCTTTAAACATTAATCAGTTGTCCTTGGCAGCAAGATCTCTCCAAGGCAGAACCCTATCAACTATACACCTTTGTAAATTGTCTTGGTGCAAGAAATGCTAGGCATGTCTGCGAGTGTCTGACAACATGAAGTTTGTGGGAAAACATCTCCAGCTACTTGCTTCGCCTCCCGTTTTTGCAGGTTTGCTGATTTCGACATATTTCAATTTCGGGCCAAAGGTGCCTTTGGAGAGCATCGTGTGAAAAGATCAAAGATGTGCCGTCCAACGCCGTTGGGTCCACAGGGTGTGGATTAAAATTGGGTCCCCGCAAAGTTGGGCGGCTTTCGATGGTTTAATTATGTTTTATGAATTCAATGCTGAAACCAGAACCTGAAATGATGAACATGTGTGATTGCATGGGGTTTCTCTCTATTTCAGTATGGGATCAGGATTGAGCTTAGCAAGTGGCTGGAATCTCTGCTGTGCAGCCATTAGTTGTATGACATCACACCGCTCCTTCCTGTTTGTGGTGGATTGTTATGTTGAATTGTTCAATTCTCTTGTCTTTCAGTGTGATGACATGGTGAGCAAATGTCGTGACATGACTTCTAGGTCCAAACCATGATTTGAGGTGGCAACTCAAGTATCTTTGTTTCCAACGGAAGAACAATCCACTACCCCCAAAGGTGATAGATATTTTCAGGTAGCCTTGGAATACAGCTTCCAAGACTGTTCGGCAATGGCCCCATGATCGCCGGCAAGACATATCGGGTCTTGTTTTGATTCCTTTGCGTTCACTGTATTATGCTGCAGTCAAGTTTCACAAATTGCCTTAGAACATGTGCAATGCGTAATCAATGTCACTGGTTTCAGGTTCAAAGCAACAGGGAGTGAAACGCACATCAATATTGCACCATGTTAAAGATGAACACTCGTGCCACCCATCAACGTTTCTTGTTTGGGAAGCTACAGATATTCCTCAGTGCGTTGGGAGTTCATTTTAGTTGCTTACTAGTTTCAACTGTCAAGCAGCAATTTGGAGAGCACAGGGTTTGATTGGGCCGTTGGAAGAAGGGACCTCCAAGGCTTCAACATCGCATCCACCTCAAGCTTTTGGGATTCGACATTTTACAGCTACAGTTCCACCATTCTGTGGGGATTCCCGTTGCGCAATACGTGCATACAATCTGGTGTCACTGGTGTGCAAGGCCATCGTGAAGTACTCTGTCAATCTGGCAGGTAGCGACTTCCAAAAAAAAACATGTCAACCTGCATGGGTCCTGTGACACATTACTTACAAGAATACCATTTTATTTCACGAAGAAGGGCCGTTTCTGCCCAAAAACCAACTACTAGAGTCTCAGACAGTGTTTGGAACTGCAGGGTCGGGTGAAACAAATTGATCTACAACTAGTTGTACTAGTACTACTCTCTTTGGCAGATTTTTCTTCATTTCACACCATTTGCAAGTCAAGACGGTTTTCCGGATAGCTACCCATGAACACCTAGGCACCTAGGCTTCACACATTGAGATACCTCCATTGCCGAGGTTTGAGCAAGCTGCCGTCAAAAGGGTGCCAAGATGCTGCTTGGTTGTTCACACCACCCCAACTGGTCAGTAAGCAATGGAAGTAGGAATACCGATTGTCAAACAATAGGGGTCTAAACACCTGATATCACCCGATTATAGTTACCAGATATACACCTATTGTTATAACCATCACTTAACTTATCATTGTGTAATTGCATATCAGTTTAAACCGCTATTACAAATTTATCACTTGATATAATCAGATGAATGACGGTTTATTAACATGATAATGATTGGAATGTGCTTCGTGTTTGGGGGGTCAATTCTCCCAGTTCTATAGATGTATGAATCGGGGACTTCTTCAGCAGGGCTACTAATAAATTAAGATCCGCATGATGATTTGTAAGGGATTGTCTCAATGATTTGGGGATTGCTCCCAGCTGCCACTTCCCCCTCAATTGTATGTTTGAAAAACAACTTCATATGTAGCCTCTGGTAGCATAGACTGCTATGGACAATCACCGTTTATAGTAGATAAATCGACAAACTAAATTGACCCTTTTCAATAGCCAGGTTACATTACCAGAGGGTATAAATGACAGGTGTTTTTTTCAACGTTATCAACAATCGTTATATCTACCAGTAGTACCGCACAAGGCGGTGGCGGAAGTTTCAGAATAGGAAACCTATAGGAGACGTTGGTTGTTGTGAATCACGGATGGCAGAGCGAATCCACTGATTGACCGAAAAGTGGTTGGAGTTGTGTTTGCTGGAGTGTTTGCAATGGTTGCAGTGGTCACCTCACCCACAACTGCTGGATGTAGTGTGATGTACTGCAACTGTAGTTGTAGTTGTAGCGTAGTGGAGTTGTAGTTGTGGTGTAATGTAATTAGTGTAGTGTAGTTGCAGTCATATAGTTGTAGCTGTAGTTGTTTTGTAGTTGTAGTAGTAGTGTAGTAGTTGTTGTTGTTGTTGTAGTTGTAGTTGTAGCTGTAGTTGTTGTGTGGTTGTAGTTGTTGTGTAGTGTAGTTGTAGTAGTAGTTGTTGTTGTTGTAGTTGTTGTAGTTGTAGTTGTTGTTTGTTTGTAGTTGTTGTAGTTGTTGTTGCTGTTGTTGTTGTTGCTGTTGTAGTTGTTGTTGTAGTTGTTGTAGTTGTTGTAGTTCTAGTTGTAGTTGTAGTTGTTGTGTAGTTGTTGTAGTGTAGTTGTTGTAGTTGTAGTTGTTGTTGTGTTGGTGTGGTGTTGTTGTTGTTGTTGTTGTTGCTGTTGCTGTTGCTGTTGTCGTCGAAGTTAGGGTAGTTAAGTTAGTGAAGTTAATTAAGTTAGTCAAGTTAGTTAAGTTAATCAGTGTCTACTTTTTCGACATCTTCACGTCAAAAAAGGCTCAAAACCCTCAGTTTTTTACACTTTTGACTTCGAAATGTGCTTCGCGCCACAACGGCGTGCACTTTTTCGACACTTTTTCGACATCTGAACCTCCAAAAGTGGTCCGAGACCGTGTGTTTTTAACACTTTTGACTTGGAAATGTGCTTCGCGCCACAACGGCGTGCACTTTTTCGACATCTCAACTTCCAAAAGTGGTCCGGAGCTGAGGTGTTTTGTACATTTTGACTTGGAAATGTGCTTCGCGCCACAACGGCGTGCACTTTTTCGACATCTCAACTTCCAAAAGTGGTCCGAAGCTGGTGTGTTTTGTACATTTTGACTTGGAAATGTGCTTCGCGCCACAACGGCGTGCACTTTTTCGACATCGCAACTTCCAAAAGTGGTCCGGAGCTGAGGTGTTTTGTACATTTTGACTTGGAAATGTGCTTCGCGCCACAACGGCGTGCAATTTTTCATCTCTCATCTGGCCAGCTGGCTCCGCACCCGCCGCTTTAGCGAGCCTATTTTCGACCCACCGGAGCCACAAATCATTGGAAAAACACAGTGTTTCGCGACTTTCCTACCTTTTCGCGCATCTGCATCTTCTTTCTTCTGATCTTGTCTCTTCTGACTCTTCTCACCTCTGCTTTTCAACTGTCCATATTGTCGGAAGTTTCACTTCTAAACTTCCTTCGACTAGAACCTTCGAAGGATTGAGTTCAAAGAAGAAGACAAATGGGTTCAAGGGGACACTGTGAAATCCGGTTTCAATGCCCTGAAAAAGCACATATAATATGCATTGATACACCATTTTGTGTTGAAACTGCATGCCATATGATTGTGGATGATCTTGCTTCAGGATTTGCGGTTTGGATTTCAGGTTGGATTTCAACAGATTTCCTCCATTCGATCCAGTTTCCGATCTCTTGGGGCGTGCTGATGACTTTCAGATTCTTTCATTGCTCCGGCTGGATGATATTTTGGCCCTTGTTCTCATAATTAACCATAGTTTTTTAACTAGGGCGGTACTTCCCTAATAGTCATAATCTGATACTGAACTTCTACCCCCTCCAATTAAACAGCCTAAAGGTTTACTAATCCAGGGTTGACATTAATCCTGAATTGATATCTAAATGATTTAGTTTAAGACGTCATATTTTTCATACTCTACCTTGTCATATTTTCCATTAAAAATAAGAGACATTCTCTGAATGGACAGATTTTTACGAAAGAGGCATCCTTCGTGGCACAAAATCAGACGCACCGAGGAAACCCGCGTGGAGGATTTCTCGAGGTCCTGAGGAAACTCTGAATCCTGGATAAAGTTTGAATCCTGGAGCACACCCGGGTCTGAAAATGCCAGCAAAATTGCCATGGAATGTGGAATTAGGTTTGGGATATTCATGGATAGTCCATTTTCAGATAACCCACTTCGTCAAAGCTCATCGAATCTGATCATCTGCCGCAGTAGCTTTCGAAGCTCCTTTGGAGAGGACCGGGTGACCGGGTTGGGTTGGGCCTTCATCTGAGCATCCAAAGAGGGTGGGATTGCCAAGTTCAGATTTTCTTGATGTTACTTGGGATGCAGTTGGGATTAATTTTTGTGGCTGCAACTATGACAATAATTCCTATATACGTTGGGAAATATGCAGGATGTTAGTTCGATGGTGTTTCCCCGATGATTTCCTGGCCTCCATCTTTTCTATCTATTTGGGGTTTGCTGTACCACATCGTGGACAAAGCCACATATCATCCCATATCCTTTTCCGATGATTGATTGTGGTTAAAGTTACGATGGCCTCACCATGACGTCGTGACGTTGGTTGCGAAGGGGAATCATCCGAACATGTCCTTTATTTCAGGTTGGTGAATTACAAAAAACCAGCCAAATGCAGATGATTCTTCTCATTGTTCATCAATAGGACTACAGTTTTTTTGTTGAGAAACAACAACGTTTTTTTGGTGTGGATGACCATTTTTGGTTGATGGTTCACATTCCATGAGTCATTTGAGAATGGCTCAAAATGAACAATCCCAGCAAAAAACTGGACAGTTTCAGATCCAAAAGAGACCAGGCGTGTCCAAAACAGTGCCCCAAATCAAAGGTCGCCAAAACCATATGTGCCATGCTGCCATGCTTGAAACTTGGGCGATTTGCCCCATGTTGGGCATAACACGACCTGGTAAATCCCAGGCATTCGAAGTGTTTTTTTGTCAGCCATACACCATATTTTTTCTTGTAGAGTGTATACTGGGTTAAATTTCCTGGCTTGACGGGTTACTGTATACATATTCAGTACATACATGAATACATATTATAGATAAAGCCATGTCACCAGCATTTCGAGCCATGGCTTGACCACATGGTGTCTCG